GGCGCTCTCGGGCCTTGCGACACCACGTCCAAGTGGGACGGACGTTTTTGGTATGGGTGTGAAGGTATAGAGCTTACACACCGCAGAACTGGGTTGCTCCAGCCCCCCTGAGCACAAGGGAAAAACAATTTGTGCCTAACGGGTCTACAGGGATAAGGTCACACGAAAGACCAGCCATGATAAGGGTCATATACTTGATCAGAAACTGGTGGTAAAGCGGTGTCCCTTCTCATGCTTCTCTTTCTGGGGTTGCAAGACAACCTGATACCATTCATGTTGGGTGTTCTTCCATCTTTGCGAGTTCCGCCCTTGCAAACACACATAATCAGTGCTCGGTTGCCTCAAACTAGTGGACCCCAATATGGTTCGCTTCCACCTGGTGTCCCTTCAACACCAACCTGCAGGGGGTTTCAACCCAAAGGAGAGCCAAACATGCTTTGGGTGTTCCCCGATGTGCAGCCACACCACAAGATAGCCATTTGTCTGCAATGGGCGACATGACAAACATAGTTCTTCCCCCCAAAAAGGACTTGGCAAATTGTGTTGGCCTCTTGGTTGGAAATGGCCCAACCAATGTCCTCCGCAAACAGACTTGAAGAAATATATGTGACTCGCACGATTCAGCCAGGCCACCTCCTTGATGAGATCTGCATCTGTCTTGTTACGCGCGATCAAGCCTCGGCTCCGCCAAATGGGCTTGAATCTGAATCGAATTTGGAACCTCCGGAATTCGGCTTCCTTTGGTTTCCCTCAACCCAAAAAAAGTCTGAAGCCCTGTGATCATGGCAAGAAAAGAGCACACCCTCTTTTTGCTTGGTTGCTTTTGAAGGGCAACCCTCTAGAAAAAAGGAATCAGGGCACCAGTTGGGAACACCAAGTCCCATCCAGGCTTCCCTGGGCATGAACATTGGTGAACCGCAAAGGCTTCGGACATCATCGAATTCCCCCGAGCCCAGCAAAAATAGCCCAAGGGAAACCGTAAGACCCGTGAAAAGAAAGGAAGGCTGCTATGTTAGGAAAACGTGGCAAGCAACACCTCTATGAAAAATAAGCAGAGCCCTTCTGACCATCTCCTTAAATCAACGGACCCCTGAATAGAGCAGAACTTCTCCTTGTGGGAGACAAATCATTTTTGCAAGCTCTGGGATGGACTTTGTGATGAACTCCCAAGTATAGTCTCCAACTTTGTTTTTTGGGGATGAGAGCGGGGTGTTTGCCTCTCAAATGTGAGCATTCCCTCAACGGGACACCCCCACTCATCAACCACGGTTCAAACATCTAGGCCAACTGTCGCGACGGGTTTGCGACCTCACCCATGATGAAGGTTCCTTTCACCAAGGTTTTCCTTGCCTACCAGTTGGGAGAAGTAGATGGAACAAATCCCCACTTTGGTTTCCTCGTTCCCTTTGCTTCCATCTACAAGTACTTTTACTTTGGGATAGCCCAGACATATCTTCAGACTCTGGTTCATATTTTGTTTGCCCTATATATATATATATAACTTTATTTTACACATTTTTGGAACATATCCCCATAAATTAGGTGGCAAATTGCTTACTCCACACCCCCACAGCAAGTAGATGGAGCCTTATTGATACCGGGATAAACCAACTACCAACCGGTGCGAAGTGGATTTTGTCCATCGGGTGCGACCCACAGAAGCGGAGGATTCCCACTAAAAGGGACACCCTCGATTAATCAACCGGGAGTTTATTAAGACACTTCGGACAACAGGTGACAGGCTTGGGGGCCCTGCCGCGGTACTTGCCTCCTGGCCTGGCGAACGCGCACCCTCCAGTACCATGTGGGTCTGTGCTTTTTTTGGAGGCAACCGCTGCCTACCACAAGGTGCTCTGAAAAGCTCAATCCAAAACAGCCTGGTGATAATTCAGCCATGCCACTTCCTCGCCATTGGCCATGGCCGGAGGCCCCACGCCCGAAATTCAAGCTCCCCGCCTTCGCACCGGCATGACGCTGAGTTAGGCCTGAGCCACCAGAAAGCAAGCGAAAACCAGTCATAGTCAAAGCCAGTGCAGGCATAGTAGGCATCTACCCAAGATCTCTGGGAAGAAATCGCAGGGCCAGGGACCACTTCCCGGCAGATTAACATCAAACCTACAAGACCAGTGCCTTCCTTGATCTGCAGGAAATTATATAAATTACGGCCAGGGAGGTCGCCGAAAAAAACAACAACAACACATCCGATTCTGCTGCTCTTCATTTGCTTCCGGCATCTTGGGAAACAAATGAAACATGTATATGTATATGAGTATGTGTGTATATTTATCTGTATCTGTATGTGGATCTGTTTATACATGTATGGAAATGTACATGTGCATATACATTTGCGTGTGTATGTACATGTATATGTGTATGCATTTGTGCATGTGGGTCTCAGGAGCTTGGGTGCACGTATTTTCTTTTCTTTCAGGGTACCCTTTTGGGGGTTGGTTTGAAGGGAAGTCAAAAGGGAAACCACTATGCTCGGGGTCTCCCTGTTTTGACACCTGCCCTGATGGTGTTCCAGGGTCTTTTGAATGAGATAGTTCGGTTGTTGGGAACATATCGAGATCTGAGCCAGGGCTTCTGGGCGCTGATAGATGTCGGCCATGGTCTGTTTGGCTCCCTGAGTTCCTGGACTTACGTTTGTTGGGAGACCGTGTTAGCGCCAACCAAAAGTTCAGACACGAGTTTGACCAATCTACTCAGGAGCTGAGGATTCCTTGCATGCGAGGATGCCTTCAAACGTGCGGCATGTTCGTGTATTACAGGCGGGAGATTTCGATATGCAAGCTAGTTCAATAGACTGATTCATTTGCGCTGGACATGGGGCCCGTACCACCCCGACCATATTTGTTTTCAGAACCCTTGCAAAACCCTTCCGAAGACCCTTTCTAAGAAGGTGCTAAGTTGTGTTTATTTCCATTTATGTATTCATGTATTTGTATATATATATATTTTTTTGGGGGGGGAGAGCTATTCCCTAATTGAGAAGGTCATTGCAAGATTGCTTGAAGTGGCATTCACGAATGCTTGCTGCTGTGAATTTCAATACGTATCGCATGTACAATGTATTTGCCATGGTCAGAGCAGCATTTTACTTGGGGTTGCTTGGGATAGTCACAGATCATTGAGTAGTTTGTCCTCAAAAGAAAAACAGCTAAGGAAACCAGACCATGGGCCGCATAAGGATATTATACATGTACGATTTATATGTATTTATTTATATATGAGTAACAGTATACCAATATGTATGTGTTTACATGTGTATATGCATACATATATGCGCAGATATGTTATTGTCGACCCGTGCGATGTTTTAGACATGCATACTATACATATATATATATATATGCTATATATGTATATGCATGTATGATATGTAATGCATGTATGCATGTAAACCTGTATACATGCACATCACGTACATCACGTACACACACATATGCAATTGAATAGGGCAAGCAAGCATCCTGGCAATACACCGTTGCCCACCTCGAATGATTGGGACAAGGGCACACCTACACTCCAAAGCACTTTCCATGAACAAGGTGTTGCATTCTTGGTTGGTCAGTCATGGTGCCACTGAAAAACTGACTCATGGCAATTTCGACAGACCTGGCACACGACCAATCTGACACCAAACCGATATGCTCATGCGGAGATTACCATCATGCCATGGTAATAAGTTTCACTCAAAACCACTTTGCGTGTCCGCTTTGGGTCTTTCCTATCATCGGGGTCACGCAATGCTTCACGCCACAGCACACGGCTTTCCAACAGTCCGAGGCTCGCACACTCAAACTCAGGGTCACATCACCGGAGTGTCACTTGCGCTTGTGCGTCGTGCAATGTCACTTGCTTGCTCTCATGCTGTTCAACTCGACTTTGCCTTCTCTCGGCTTTCGCCATGTATTTGTGTCCTTGCAAAAAAAGGCAGCCTCTGTGGACATGGAGCAAACATTGGCATAGCAACATGGCCGTCAAAGCTGTTCTAATTACCACGACCTTAGCATAGCAGTCAATGAACTTGAGGTCCTCTGTGCCATCTTGCACGATGGGAATTGTGGGCTGCACTCAAACCAGAGGGTAACATCTCGCTAGAAAAGTGCCCCCTACATGCCACGCTTGCATCTGGCAGTGGCTGCGAGGAATCGGGCGGTGTATTTTGTTTTACCGGCACTTCTGCCAACGTTGTTTCCGTGCTGAATAGACTCAACTTGAACAATCCCATCAAGTCCTCCTTGCAACCGTGTTTCCCGAATCTGAACCGTAGAATGCGTGGAATATCACGAAACGGCACTGTGTTTTTTAGGCATGTTGCTTGGTTCTGAGACGTCCTCTGGCAAAGGGTTCGCGGTCAGTAAAACAAACATACACATGATCGATCCAAACATCCACAGGTGTACGTTCTGTTGGTGCAGCAATGGTTCCTCAAAAATACGAGGGAACGTCAAAACACTTTAACTCAGAAGTTCTTAGCCTCTGTTTGCTGTGCTGCCGGGATCCATGCTGGACATGACAAAGGCATGCATCAATGCTACCAATTACTTGAACACACTCAGCAGACTGACTGATTGAACGCAGCTTCCATATGCCCGGGATTGATTTTCAACTGCTTGCGAACAACTGACCAAACAGTCGCTATGGGAAACAATTGTCCAAAAGACTCGAAGCAGGTTAGTAAAACGTGCTTCAAAGACTGGAAGCCCGACAGGCCGTTCAAAGACAAACTGATCGGCTTCAAGATGCCGTATGGGGACTAAAAGAATAGGAACCTGAGCATACCCAAAGCATAGCTAAGCACAATTTCGACTCAGCTTTTGGCCCCTGCAAACAAACATCACTTTGTTTCTGGTCCAGCTGTGGTTCAGATTGAAATGTGAAATGTAAAACCAATTCAAACGAACGTCCAGCACTCCCCTGGGGACACCCCTTCGCTAGCAAGACCCGCCGGCGGGGCAGGATCAAACCGTAAGCTGGTTTCCCTCGCCGCCGGCCTGTCGCTCACCAGCTCTTTGGGCGGTACCTGAGGTGTACGGATGCTTCTCCACGTAGCTGGCGGTCCTTCCCCTTTTTGGTTTTACTCTGATTTTTGAGGGCGTCAGGAACACCCCCCGCGCTTCTTGAGGTGTCTTGCTTCTCTTGTGATGTACTTTTGGAGAGGGTCATGGACGCTTAGTCATCTATCTCACAAAACCAATACACTCAACCGGACGTGGTGTCAACATACGCGCTAGATTACAGTTGGTCACCATGAGGTGAATGTGTAGGCGTTCTCCAGATGGTATCTAAAATAGGTGCGCTTTTGTACGCTTTGCTCATATAACCAACAAATCCAAAATAATACCTGAAGATACCTGAAGAGACACAAGTGACGTCCGTTGCATTTGCCACAGCTCTCTTGTTGGCTGCGCTGCTGACGGCGAGGACACGACCGTAGGCTTGCTCCATGCTGCAAGTCCGCTGTCTGTGGAGCAACTTGTTTCAATGCACCAGCCGGACCCCATCCATTCCCGACCGGTTTTACTTTTTGCTCTAGTGCTTGCATCGCATATGCACGACAAAAGGGAAGCCCCAGATTTGGGGTCCTCTACTTTTCGGACTCCCAACAATTCGCACGGAACAAGGCCCCCCTCGCCTCAAAGCTTCGCAGCAGAGCCGTGAGCTCCTTTTGGCGTGCTCCGCGGCACGGGTGAGGCCATCTAATGCTACCTTTCCAATTTGGTTTGGGGTGTCAAAACGGGTCATGTCGGCACCAAACATGGTATGTCGGCACCAAACATGGGTCATTCTTCTGTGCTTGGGGCCCCGGAGTTAACTTCTCAAGGAATGAGGGAGTCTGAACCAGTTCCGGTAATTTCCTTGTCGTGGATCTGCGGGTTCATTCTCAAAACCCATCCTGACAATCAGCAAACAAATGCCATGGAAACCTAACAAGACCCTCAGGGAGCTCCTGAACAGGAGGCTCATCTACAAATGATGGTAAATGTCGCAAGTAAACAATCACAAGACTCCGCAGGGCTCCTGTACTGTATGTGGGTGTGTATTTTTCAGGGCACCTTTTTTTATAACTCGGCTTAAAGGGCAACCAAAGGAACATCAACATCTGTTTCAGGGGTTCAAATCCCAATTGCGACGCGGACCCATGTCCTACTTGCAGGGTTTGGAGAATCGACCGTGTGGGCCCTGGTTCCCTAAAGTGAGCATTGACCAAAGTATTGTATTGCCACATGATATGTTTTGATATATTACAAGTTTTGCATCAATGGGCATGCAATAACTGAAAATAACTGAAAACCGTATAGTTGTCTAATGTAGTTTTAGACCCTCTAACTGTAACCTTTAAAGGCCGTGTTTTGTATTTTGACCCCCTCATTGTAACTTGTCAACCCTCTAATTGTAACTTGTGATCCTCTAGTTGCAACTGTTCCGCTCATTGGCTATCAAAATGTTCGGATAGGTCGGACACAAGCTATCATTAGTCAATTATGATTGCTTCAGAAGCACGGTGTTGTTGTTTTGTCTCCCATGTTTAGTTAGGACCAACAAAAACGACAAACACATAGGTACACTTAAAGGGTGCTTGTGAAAACTCCCCAACAAGAGAAATATATATATATATAGTATATTTTGTGATTGTGTCTTATTCGCTGACCCTCTAATTGCAACTGTTGACCCTTTGTTAGACACTTTCAACTTGACACAACCCTCTATTTGCAACTACATTGTTATGTTTGAAGCGGATAGTGACTAATACTCAGTTTGCACACACAACAATAAGTCTATCTACACCCACCCGCCACACCCACCCACCCACCAACCCCCCCACCCCCACCCCATCCCCACTACCCCCTCCCCGCAACCCCCACCCCACTACCCCCACCCGCACACCCGCCCAAACACCCACCCACCTGCACGCGCACGCGTACGCGTGCACGCACAAGCACACACGCACGCACAAGTGCACACCCACACACACAGGCACCCACACACACACAAACAAACACAAACCCACACACACACACTCACAAAAAAACACACAACAACACACAAAAAAACACGCAAACAACACACAAAACACACACACAAAACACAGACACACAGACACACAGACACACAGACACACAGACACACAGACACACAGACACACAGACACACAGACACACAGACACACAGACACACAGACACACAGACACACAGACACACAGACACACAGACACACAGACACACAGACACACAGACACACAGACACACAGACACACAGACACACAGACACACAGACACACAGACACACAGACACACAGACACACAGACACACAGACACACAGACACACAGACACACAGACACACAGACACACAGACACACAGACACACAGACACACAGACACACAGACACACAGACACACAGACACACAGACACACAGACACACAGACACACAGACACACAGACACACAGACACACAGACACACAGACACACAGACACACAGACACACAGACACACAGACACACAGACACACAGACACACAGACACACAGACACACAGACACACAGACACACAGACACACAGACACACACACACACACACACACACACACACACACACACGCACACACACTCTCTAACACCCACACACACACACACCCTCACAAACAAAAACACACAAACAAGCACACAGGCACGCAGGCACGCAGGCACGCAGGCATGCAGGCACGCAGGCACGCGCACACGCAGGAACGCAGGCACACACTCACACACACACACACACACTCACACACTCGCACACACACACGCACGCACGCACACACGCATGCACGCACGCAGGCACGCAGGCACGCAGGCTCTCAGGCACGCAGGCACGCAGGAACGCAGGCACGCAGGAACGCAGGCACGCAGGCACACAAACACACACACACACACACACACACACACACACACACACACACACACACACACACACACACACACACACACACACACACACACACACACACACACACACACACACACACACACACACACACACGTGCGACTCGGCTTGGAAAACCCGTCGCATCCCGTGAGAAGCCGCTGCCTCAGCGAAGCGCTCCAAGCTCTGCCGGCTGCGCCGGGCAAAGTGCTCCTGTCGCCAAACGCACCAGCAGCAGCAGGGAAGGGCCAAAACCTACCAGGGACATGCGTGGTGTAAGTATCTACAGTCACTTTGGCTCTTGCCAAGGGATGAAACAAGTTGGCCACACCTGGAATCAGCAACAAGAAGAAAGCCAGCAGCAGCAGAGCAAGAAAGAAACGAGGGAACAGATTCTAGGCCGCCGGAACAAAATGTCTGTTTCCAAGTCTGAGAATTGTGCTTCCATTGTTGCAACATATCAGCGTTGCCCCCATCGTCTCCTGCTGCGCAGCTGCAATCAGGAAAGCCGCAAGCAAGCGCGGCCGGCTGCGATCTGGACAGCAAGCGCAAAGGCACGGGCACGAGATGCAGGGTCGGAGCAGGATTGTGCAAGACGATCGGCCCAAATTGGTAGATGCACGTGTGACGCAGGCAACCATACACAGACTCGGGCCAAGCGCAAAGCCATCATATAAAGATGAAAGGGCACAGCATGTATTCAATATTCCTATATTGGACACCATTGGCGAGCACCAGCTTTTGGCGCTTTTCTGCACTCCCGAAATACCCTCCAGAAGGTGGTTGCTCCTCGAAGTTTCATCTCAATGGTGAGTTTAACGACCACCGGGTCGCAAGGAACATTTTGAGACCCCGGCAAGGGACTCAGCATTCGCCGCAGAAGTCCAGCAGGGACAAAGGAAACACAAGAGATTCAACAGACTCTGTGGCCTTGATATGATACTGATGGACAAAGTCCGCTTCGCACCAGTTGAAATAGATGAAGCCCCATGCATACTGCCAACTGGTGCGAAGCACACAGATTTTGACGATCAGGATTTCAAACCTTTGAGCTTGGCAGCCGCTCTTTCCCTTTTGTCAGAAAACATCCTGAGAAACCCTGACTTGAGCCAAGGAGCATACATATTTGGGAGTGTCTCTTTTCGAGGGCACCGTTTTTGGTGGTGGGTTAGAGGCAAATTAAAGGAAGACCAGCCATTTTGCTGTTCCCCAATGTAGGACAAAGCCAAACTTGTTCCCTATTTACGGGCATGCAAAAAGGCTAAATCCTTAGTAATCTGGATGCACTTCCCATGGTCCCCAAAATGAGCGATAGCCTACTACGAATATTGTCCAAAGTCCTGGGAATTGCTCATCTCCGATGCTACATGACGCATGTCCTTTCTCACTGCCCTCCACGAATAGACACTAGTGGGTTGTTATGTTTCCTCTTGCGCCGGCTTCATAACATGATACAGTCAGTTGCTCACTTGGCATTTTGGCGGTCTTGCCGGGTCCATGTGCACCCATCCCGCAATTCACGCCGAGCCTGGAAACTCCGCTGGAGAGAGGGAATCCTGGCATCGATGGTGTTGTAGTCTGCCCAGGCCCAAAATAGTATTCACACGCAAGAAACGACATGTGTATGCATGTACATGCATTTACATGCGCATATGCATGTATTTATGTACTGATTAATAGCGTATGCATATATATACATATATATATATTATGGCGAGCATGTGTACATCTATTTCGATATTGCATGTAAGTTCCTCAACCCAAGCCTTGCAATGGTACAAACAACTCCATAAGACCTCATAGAGAATATACTCAACATATCCAATAGTCAACCGTCCATTTTGGAGAGTCATGGGCTGCTCTAAATTTGTCACGTCACAACAACTAGGGACTCTCTATTTTTCCGTATCCACTATACTTGCCGCGGCTCATAACAAAAAACGTTCGGGTACATGACTCCAAAACTTGCTGATGTTCATACCCCTCCCGCAAAAAGGGTATATGCCCCTTAAGAAGTTGGTAACCAGGGATAGCAAGTGGTATGTTCTTCCCGTGGATCCTATGCTCAGAGTTTGGAGACAGTTTTGCCAGGCTGCACCTAGCGAGGATGGGATCCGGTGTGCAAGGAGCAGAGTGGATTTGCATCGTGTTGTTGACGTGTGGTGCCCTTGGTGTGGTTGGTGTTGACAAAAAGACACCGAACGGAAAACCATACATCTAAAGTGTGACTGGGGTGACCGTTTTTTTGAAGATACCCTTTTCTTTTGTTGCGTTGGCCCGTAAAAAGGGAGGCCCCAAGAACGACATGGTCGCGCTCACTAAAACTTCATTAGGACACGGGTGTTGGCTATGGACCTGACAGGGTCGAAGCGCAAGCGGTGTCCAAAATGGGGTTGAACTTTCATGGAGGCAAGTGGGCGGCAAGCCGCTGAAGATATGTTGACCCAGGATTCATAGACTCCCCCCAGAAACGTTGCATGTGCACAGTCCTTTTTCCGGACTTTCACCCACATTCATCCATCAGGTTTATTGACCCGGGGTCAACATGATTATGAATCCAATGGTTGGTGGACATAAGTCGCCCAAACAAAACGTCCCCCAATTGAATATCATACCAATGTGCGCAAAGTCTATATCCAATATTCGCGCCCCTGCAACCCTCAAGAGGCCAAATAGGATGTGTCTTTGTTGAAGGTGCCCTGCCCCAAAGCAGGTTGTTGAAAACTAGCACTAAAGGGAACACATCCATGCAGGACCCGCAAACAACAACTGGAGGCATGGATTCACCATGTGTTTGCTTTCATCGTGGGTGAGCTCGTCTCCCCCCTCTTTCGGGGGGGGTTCCCACCATTAGCACAGATTGGCAAGTCACAGGCGCCCCGCCTTCAGCAATATTTTTTCGATGTAGCCTGGCAAGGCAGGTTGACGCTTTGCAACGTGCAGGGACAAGCAAATGTGCGTAATCCTGCCCGTTGAAAGCCAGTTAAACTGTGAAGACTTGCCGACGTTTGTGGCTAATGATGAATAAGCTGGATTCCCTATCCTTCCAGCCCGAAAGCCTAACTGACCAAAAGGAAATTCACTCTCAATCGGCTCAGCATGATGTTTTGAATTGGGCATAGAGTCGAGACGCTTGCGTTGTGGCCAACCCCCGGACTGTGCCACGGCTTGTGGCATGATGCAAGCTGGAAGTCATTTGTTGGAACCCGCATTGCACCCCAAAACGAGCCCCCAGTCAGGGTACAAGTACCCCAAACTGGTGGCGTTGCGCTCGCTTTCGCTCGCTTTCGCTGCCTGCCAGGCTCTTGTGGTGGTGTCCCACCACGTCGAAGGCTTCCGCCACCGATGCCACCTAGACTCCAAGCTGGTCTTCCAGAGAAATCGCACAGGCCATTGGTATAGCCCCCTCATCTCCATACGCCATTACCGCACACACAGTTGGTTTGCATGGGATTCCACACCCAAAAAACAAGGGCCCCACACCAATGGCCTGCAATTGCTAGAGCTGCTCTGGCGCATTTAATCGGAAACCTGTTTGTCACAGCTCGTCAAGATTTTCAAGATTTGGGTCCTTCAATAGGAAGGGAAGCCATACAATGGCTCTCTTACATCCCCAAAGCGACAATTTCCATAACGGGAACCACCATGCCGAAGAAACACATGGACATGATTGTATCCAAAAACAGGGGGCTTCAGATTTGGTCGATTCATGATGACAATTCCACAAGCAAGCCTGAATTCAACAAAAAAAGATGAACCTGTTTTGCGTGTCCTCTGTTGATCATCACCCCGCAAAACGGAACCCTGAAACTCCCCCACCCCCATCGGCACATTCGGGTATGTGTCAAAATAGGGGGAATCGATTGTGGCTTTCCATTTGCTTTCTTTTAAGGCCACCACACAGAAATCAGGTATCCTTTAGTTGGTGGTTTGGATTGGTGGTTTGGGGATTTGAACCCCTGGTTGTTGTGGAGGCCCTCCTCAACCACCAAACCACCAATCCAAACCACCAATTGGAGCGAAGCTCAAAAAAGGTGTCCCTGCAATTGACGCGCCATGCTTCCAGCCCCGGCTTCACGCCTGTTCGGTGCTGAAGGCGTCCAAGTTGGACCTGAGTGCCGTGTTCGTCAGAGGACAAGCGGTTGGTTTCACCAAAAACCGCATGTTGTTGTCATCAATTGCAATCTGTAACTCAAACTGGATCCATCAAACACAAATTCAGTCGACATTCTTAACCACAACCCTGTCTTTATAGTGTTAAGGGCAACAGCCGGGACCCAAAAAACAAAGTAACATGCCACCACTTTAGGGCACTCCAGTGTGCACTCCGAGTGTTGCACAAGCGCTTGAAACAACTGAAACTTGCATAGCGAAAGGTAACCCGAAACCACATGCGGCAATTGCTCCAACATCAAGCCACAAAAGGCTTGCAAGCCATGAGATAGCTTGTATTGTTTATCGCCTATTGCCATGCAAACCCATCAGCATTTGACATGCTATATCACCAACTTGGAATCGACTTGCCATGAACTCAAACCCTAGCAACTATTTCTGGCAAGGTCATTCTATAGTAGCCCCTGTGAGAATCATGTCCTCACTCAACGTTGCCCCGAGACAAGATACCAGTAGAGCCGGCGAAGCCGGTGGACGGAAGTTTCTAAAGCGAGAAGAGTGCCTATAGGAAGAGCTTGGCTGTGTTTTTGTTGTTGCGCTCTTTCTTTGTCTCGTTCTTTCTTGGTTTTCTTGTTTCTTGCTTTCTTTCTTTGTTTCTTTCTTTCTTTCCTTCCTTTTCTTTCACAAGCAAGCTGCCCACGCCGGTAACACAACAACAGCTATCGCCTCTTCTCTTCTCTTCTCTTCTCTTCTCCTCTCTTCTCTCTAGGTCGTGGCACGCATGTCTTGTTTTCGCTCTTGCTTTCTCTCTTGCTTTCTTTCTGTATGTTTTTTTCTTTCTTTCTCTCTCTCTCTCTCTTTCTGTCTTTCTGTCTTTATTTTATGCTTTCTTGCTTTCTTTCTGTCTTTATTTCATTCATGATTTCTGTCTTTCTTGCTCTCTTGCTTTCTTTCTTTTTCTTTTCTTTCCTTCTCTATATCTCTATTTCTTCTTTCTTTCTTTTCTTTCTTTCTTGCTTTCTTTTTATTCTCTTTCTTTCTCTATCTCTGTTTTCTTGTTATTTCTCTTTCTCGTTATTTCCTCTTTCTTTCTTTCTTTCTTTCTTTCTTTGTACTTCTCTTTCTCTTTCTCTTTCTCTGTCTCTTTCTCTGTCTCTTTCTCTTTCTCTTTCTCTCTCTCTCTCTTTCTCTTTCTCTTTCTCTTTCTCTTTCTCTCTCTTTTTTCCTCATTTCTTTTTCTTTCTGTCTTTCTTTCTTTCATTATTTCTGTCTTTCTTTCTTTCTTGCTTTCTTTCCTTGTATTTTCTTTCTCTTTTCTTGAACTATTTATTTGTATTTCTCTTTCTCTTTATTTCTTATTTCTTTCTTTCTTTTCTTTCTTTCTTGCTTTCGTTCTTTTGTTTTTTGCTCTATCTTTGTATTTACTTGAATTTCTCTTTCTCGTTAATTCTTCTTTATTTCTTCCTTCCTTCCTTTCTTTCTTTCTTTTTATCCCCTTGTATTTCTCTTTCTCTTTCTCTTTCTTTCTCTCTCTCTCTTTCTTTCTCATTTCTTTCTTTCTTTCTTTATTTCTTTCGCTCTTTCTTTCATTCTGTATTTCTGTATTTCTTTCTTTCTTTTCTTTATTTTGTTCTTTCTTTATTTATTTTTGCTGTATTTCTTCATTTCTGTCTTTCTTGATTTCTTTCTTTCTTTCTTTCTATATCTCTCTGTCTTTCTCTTTCTCTTTCCATTTGAGCTCATTTGATCTATCTACCTATCTATCTATCTATCTTCTGCACCTGACCTTGCGAAAGTGCTGCGCCTGCCACGAAATCTGTACTTGACCTTGCGAAAGTGCTGCACCTGCCACAAATCTATACTTGACCTTGCGAAAGTGCTGCGCCTGCCACGAAACCTGTACTTGATCTCGCGAAAGTGCTGCGCCTGCCACGAAATCTGTACTCAACCTTGCGAAAGTGCTGCGCCTGCCACGCAGTCTGTACCCGACCTTGCCTATCTATCGATCTATCTATCACCTGGCCTTGCGAAAGTGCTGCGCCAGCCGCGAAATCTGTACTTGACCTTGCGAAAATGCTGCGCCTGCCACGAAATCTGCACTTGACCTTGCACGGGCACAAAATGCTGCGCCTGCCACGAAATCTGCACCTCAGGTTGCCAAAGTGCTGCGCCTGCCACGCAAAATAGACCTGCGCGAGCATTACGGTGGGCAACATTCCGAAACCGTGGCGAAACCGCACGCAGAACAAAGGTACCCTTCGCGATTCTCCGTGCTGACTGACTTCACTTCTGAGTGCGTCCGGATCTTGTGATTCAACTTTTCGTGTTATTAAGTTTTCTTACTAAACTTCCTTTGATAACAATGCTTCACTTGCAAGGTCCCAACCCCTGACTGGCTTCCTCCTCCAAACATGCCCGACAGGCTTATTCGGAGGGTTGCTTCGCGAACTCTCTGTCAAAGGACCCTGGCAAGTCCTCACCCCACGCTTCCCCCCAATGACCCAACACCAAAGTAAAAATAGCGTAACCTGAAAATCCAACGGGCCACAGCCCGTGGATAACTGAGAGTGTCCAGCACCAATGGCAGCAAACTGAGGACAGTTGGGACGGTCTTCGCTGCTGGGCTGTCCTTTTGCAACTGACTGCATGTCAAACGAATGCCATGCTTCTTATATTTCGGATGCTACAGTAATCAAGGGGATGCCCATTGAATTGTCAAAGGTCTTGAATATGGCACCCAACTTACAAGCGACAGCTACAACATGAAACAAGTCACGTATATGTCTTCACCAACAAGCAACAACCTTCTTAAAACCACAAACACAACCACCAACAGCTCCGCGCTACCCTCCCCGTTTCCTTGGGTTCTGGCCCCACCGACTGCCCGAGCCGCACCAGGAGCTTGGGGTCACGAAGCCGGAAGTGCCTCTGGATTCAGACGCGGTCGGGAAACACCGAAAAGTTGAAAAACCCGGCCCTGCTGTTGGCTTTTTTTTGGTAAACGTTTAAACAAATATGGGCCATTTAGCAGCCCCCGCTTTCAGCCAGATTCTAATCATCCCTGGCTCTGGGGCTCCCAATCTCCATTGCGAGAAACAAAGCCTGATCCTACCTCAGCTTTTGGCCCAAAAGATATCATGTTTGACCACAGTTGCAAACAAGTGTCAAACCAGATCCCGCGATTTGTGCTTAACAACAAATCACAAATGGGGGTCTGTCCTTCTGGACAGAAAGGTTCCTTCAAAACTTGGAGGTGCTTTCCAGTTGGCTCGGTTGGGATCCAGGGAAGTTTTTGGCTGGCGCATAAAGGCTCCTGGTTGCGAGATGTCAATTAAGCAACTCATGTGGGCACGCTACTCCACAACCCTGAACTAAGGCATCCTCGAGTAAGGGGCCATGGTTTACCTCCCTTTACCTGCAGAGGTCGAAATAATTTGTGCAGGTCATCCATTTATACATACTCCGGTGGATTCACATGGAATCCACTGGCCCGTTGTTTGAGAAATCTCCTTTTGGGCGACAGCTTTTTTGGCTAATCTGGCCTGGGTCACTTGAGCCTGGCCCAAAATGATCTGTCCGACTTGTCCACATAATTTCGATACCAACTCTGGATTCCACCAATTATTGCACTCTGTCTAGCGCGCTTCTCGCATTTTCCAAGATCAGGTCGGCGGTAAAGCTAGAGCTGCCGAAACATAGCATGAAACTTGGCTCTCCCGAAGATTGACATGGCTATGCACTTTCCCAAATGGTTGGCTAGCCTCCAAATGAAGCCGCCGCAAAAACAAAACAAAACAATTAAAACAGCGAGCCTAAAAAGGAAAACCCGAGGTCAAGTGAACAGGACCATCCTGTAGCCAGGGTCCCCGTGGTGGAGCTCTCCTCTCCAAGCCCCGCACGCTGCCGCCGTGGCGATGGACGCCTCAGAAAACGGCACGAGACGGAGGTTTTCTTGTACTGAGCCAAAGAACCCACGGAAGGGCCCACTGAAGCTTCTTTTTGTCCTCCCCTTTTGCGACACACCATGCCAAGGGTGATTTTCTGAGGCGTCACGCGTTCAAGCAATGCTTTTCCTGTTGGTTCCCTTAACCAATCCAAAACAGGTAACCTCAAACCAAGACACAACATGTTGGAGGGCTTCAAAGGAGAATTTGGTGGGAAAACCATTACATGGAGTGAACGAGCTAAGATTCGGAATCGGGTGGCACACAAGCTATATACTATCAATGGACATGCTTGCCAACAAAGTGTGCGGAGTTTTGCAAATCAACCAGCCTATAGACTGGGCTGGGCTTGAACCCCCTGCGCGGTCACATTTTGCGCTGCTTGGCTTGCTGTGGAACCAAAGAGTAACAAATCCCTCGACAGTCCCCCCAAAGACATTCCCCGAAAAAAATAACCTGGGACCGGTTTCACGTTGTCTTTGGGTGTTGCAAAGCTTGCATTAAATCAAGAGATTGCACACACACACACACACAGAAAAGCTGACTTGTGGAGGAATCGTCTTTTGGGGTCTCGGACTTCTTTGAGGGTCCCTTCCCTTCCGTTTTGCCGAGAGTTGTCTTTCGCCATCGCACGTCTGCCTCCGAAGGCTTTTTGTGGACTCTGCAGGTTACATCAACCAAATTCATTGGGACATGGACTGGCCCGAAACGAGAGACCCAAGAGGTAACTGTGTCTATTTTAGTAAGACGTCCTCAACATGAATCTCTAAATGGCGGTTTAGGGGAAAGCACCCCGAACAATCCTGTTTAGAACAAAATGCGTCCACTTTGAGCGAACCAATCTTGTTTCCCGCCACCCCTGAACCTGGCAGTAGGCGTCAACAAACGTGGCAAAAATCATGCAACACGGCAAGACGTGCCAAATTTCTAGGGGTTGATTCCCCATTCTTTTCAACCATCGTTCTTTTCAAAAACCGGCTGTTTCCCCTGGGTTTTTGGATGGTTTCCTGAAAGAAGGATCCCTGCAAAGAATGGGGAAGGTACCCCTAGAAATTTATGAGAAACTCGCAGCGCATCTGGAAGCCGGCCCAGCCACCAAAAAATGAGCTGCCTGCCTGGGCCAGTTAGCATCAGAAACGCGCAACATGTACTGTGGCAACAATTTCGCGCAATTGTGCTGGCGAGCCGAACATGCAGAAGCAGAATAAGGGCGGGGTTTAGGTTCCCAGGTCAATACAGCTCACTGACCATGATGCAGTGATGCGGTATGATAGGGTCCCGTAATGGATACGTCTGGGCCGGTTGCAATCTTGCCAGCTGATTTCGAGGATCCCCTGTAAAGCAGGCGGTGTTGGATGCATCCTTCAATAACCCCTGTATGACCTTCTTTGTATTCTTGGGGTCCAATTGAACCTTGGAATTCTGGAAGCCGAGGCTCCTCAACTCACCTGAGTGGACCAGGAAAAACAACACTCATTTCTTGCTCAGCTACATGGTCATCCCGAAAAGTTGCAAAGCCTGAAACGTCAGGCAGTGAGGAAATCCAATCAACAGCAGGGACACCCCACACAAATACCCCTCGGGCCCCCCGGCGATCTGGAAGGGCTTGAGATACGCCAGCTGCGCCTGTCGAGCAAAGTTCACTCCATAGCCCCGGAGAAATTGACTTGCTCCCCCAAAGGACATGGGACAAATGGGTGGGCTCCACTACCCCTGATGTCCTCCCCAAACTTTCAATAGACAGCATCTCAAAATATCTCAAACCTCACGTAAAGAATCGACCTTTTCTCTGCACACCCGCCGATGCAGCGCGATCTAGCAGACGCTTGCTTTCTGGTGGTAAGAAATCTGGGAATGGCTAATCTCCGACCAATATTTGCTTATAGGGATGGAAGGGTCATTCCCATACTTCCTAAGGACGAGCAAGGAAACCACGTTCTCTTCACTGTTGCTTCGCTTTGCACCGAATTATCAATTCCAGCTGCGCTCTTGCCGGCTTAAGCTGGCCTGGGCGACGATCCAATTCAACTCTGCACCTTACTTGTCTCCAAGCAATGCTGGTGGCTCAAATCCCGTGGTTTTACAGTTCAAATTTTATGTTGGTTCCAGCCACCACGACAAACGAAAATAACAAATAACAGTCCAAACTGTGACAGTTTGGTTGGACAATATGACTGTCAAGTGACTTGGCTATTTGAGACCTTGGCAACAGCATGCATCTACAAAGCCAGTCTCAACTCGGCTGGTCTGCTTGGCACCTCGCACACCCGAAAGGTTCCTAGAACCTTCAAAGGGGTGCTTAGAAGGGCTCTTAGAACCTTCTGGCGTTGTGCCGCCTCCCTTGGCTGTGGGGGGAATATTTACTTTGTGCTAGCCTTTATCCCGACGGGGTAGCCCCGGTCTCGTGAATCCATAAATTCCCCAATAAACACGCGCCGACATTTACTTATGGCTGGAAACAACTAAAGGCAGCCGGGTTTGTTGACCCCCCAGGTTAGGGTTGGCAAAAATACAGGGTCTGTCCCCTCTTGAAATAAGAGGTGCGGGCACGGGGTGGTTGCGGATCACTTTTCTGGATGGCTTCTTGTTGATGGGACAGTCCTAGAAGTCTGCGGGATAAATAGAAGGCCTGCGGGACAAATAAGGAATCAACCCCCTTTGTGGTTGTTATTGAAGGGGAATCTGAAAAGGATGAAACCATAGGGCTCCGCCAGGGTCATCCCCACAAACTGAGAACAAAGTGACACCAATTCCCCGTGCTGCTTTTCCCTTGTGCCGCGTTGTGTGGGGAGGGTGCCTTACATTCAAGGGCTGCTATGGCTGCTAACAACCCACTCTTAGCAGGGCGCAGGACGGCCCTGGGCAGCCAAGATTTCTACGATCAGCTCGCGATTCCCGGCCAATGGCGTGTTACCAGGCATGGGACACGTGCCAAATCACATGAAGATCCAGTGGCTGACAACGCCAATCAACATATTTCTGCTCCCAACTGACACTGGATTTCGGCAACCGTGGCTTCGTGAGGCTTAGTCCAGGGTCCGCGGTTTGGGTGCTTGGCTCCGACTCACCGCCGCCACTTTCAGGGCATCCCCCAGGCTGCGGAATGATGCGGCCACCCCTCCCTTGCCTCGGCCATGTGTCAAAATAGGGATTTGGACCCAAAATGGGTGACAGTTCGTTTTGGTTGCGACCAGGCGAGTTCAGGATTTAGATTTCCACACCAGGACCCAAAGGAAAAAACTTAAAACACGTTGAGTGTGGCTATGGCTACACAAGGGCTGTATATGCCATGGTCTGGGGACGGAGTCCATCTTGGCGACCAACGCTCATTTGCCGACAGGGTTACTTTTTCTGCTGGTCCATTTCAAAGAAAAACCCACTTCAAAGGTGGACATGGTTTCCATGACAGACTTGGCCGTTTGCTCCCCTTTTCGGAAAATAGGGCCCCCTCCAAAAGCGGTTCTGCACTACACTAGTTCCCTGCTTTTCGCCGCAGCAGCGGCCAAGGTCAACTCAAACCCTGCTTTGTGACTCTGTGCAATTGAGAATATCTTACAGCAAGAACGAGAACCCTGATCTTACTCCCCGTCACCTCGTTGTGATATCGAACTTTTGGTGTGCGCCTCGCCTCGTTAAATCGCGTGTCACCTCGCAAAGGTACCTCGCACTAGCGCCGAATAGCTGCCGAGATTGCCGAAACACATTTTTTGAAATTCCGAACAATGTGTTTGAGGTCCTAGCAGGCTGCAGGGTTGCTCGTTTCCATTGCGAGGGCTAGCAGCGCCGCATAGCTGCCCGGAGTGCGGAAAAACAACTTGTCAAGTTAAAACTTGTTTTTTACGCTTGGAAGCTTCGCCAGGACAAGTGTACTGAAGGCAATGCATTTTAGCAGCCCCAAGTTTGAAAACCCGCAATTCCGTAGCGCAAGTCTGGTACGCGAAGCGCATTCCAGCTCGAAAATCATAAGATTGTAGTACAAGTCAGGTACGCTCCCGCAGCTTCAGCTCGAAAGTCACAATTTTGTAGCCCCGGATAGCTGCTCGGAGTGGCCAAAAACTACTTGTCAGGCTCCGAAGTGTTTTTTTGGCGTGTTTAAAGGTAAAACCACTGTTCAAGCTGTTTTTCGCCAACAATCACCTGTGACCACATAGAGCAAACTTTTCAGGCACCCTGCTCCTCGGCAAACCTCGCTCTAAATTACGCAAACAAACGTTTTCAAAGGGAGACCGAAAGGAAGCAGCCTGTTACGGGCCCCTATTTCTTTCTCTTGCCAGTGGCTAGGACAAAAACAGTTCAAATTTTTCGGGTGTAACAAGTAACACGCTATGAACAGCCCCCACTCCCCATAGGAGAGCGCTCATGCTGTCGAAAGTTTCAGTCTTCTGTGTCGCACAAACATGTGACCGAAAGGCCGCGCGCAAGTCGCAGCATGTCAGCTGATTTGTCACAGTTGAAGACCACAGCAGAAGATGGCTCTTGCCACGCACGCACACATTGAGCTGCAACTGCAGCAGCTATGGCGTGGATGCGTCACTCTTGCAAACGTATTGCCACTCCACTTCGCAAGGAGTGCAAACAGCATGCCAGAATGCGACGCAGTGGATGCGCTGGAAGCAGCACACCAACAGACGAAGCTCAGCGCCAGGGTTTGGCAGGCGTGCTCATCTTGCGGCGCCGCGTGGCTTGGAAAGGCTGGGAGATGTCTGCGAAACGAAAGTCCCCCGCCACTCCTTTAAGATCCCGTGCTGGAACCCAGGCGCTCTGGTCACTAATCAAGGCCATCTGCGACTGTGTTGGCGCCGATCCGCCCGTGGTGGCCGTAGCACCTGCATCCGCCTTGTAGGCATCGCTGACATGCACGCTGGGGAGAAGGCCCTTGTGCCTTGCGTCCACTATCGGCTCCATTGCCGCTGACATTTCGGACAAAGGGCAGACCATTGATGCTCACTTGATGCAGAGCATCCCATCACTCATATCTACTAGCAAGCGACGCATGGAGCAGGGCTACTCTTTTCATTGGCCTGCTGACATCCAATGGCAAGGAGTACTGACTTGCAACACGTCTGGCCCCACAAAGGTGCTGTTGGTGCGCTCAGGAAGGTGCACGTGTGATGGACTGGCCACCTTTATAATCTTGCAAAGCTTGCAAAAATGGCGTTGTTCGAGCGCGCATTTCCGAGCACGGAGCAGCATGGTTTGAACTTGCATATCGTGTTGCACGCAATCCTCGAGCGCCATGCAGTGGCCGGTCCTGGGGCACGCGCGCCTGGCGGTGCTGCAAGCAGTAGCAGGATGAGAGGTGGGCAACGTTGCCAGGGCAGTTCTGCAGCATAACGCGCAGTTCTCAGAGGCAGTTATCTCTCAGGCTCAGCAATTGAGCTGCAGGCACGCAGCACGCGCTCGACGGCATGCTCAGCTTCAAGATGATGAATATCACCCTGGCCGGTAAGCTACCTGCAGCTTCTTCAACACATCAGCGCAAGCTCCGGCAACTCCACTGCGCTTGGTGCCTGATATCGGCATACAGTCTGGTAAGTAAACTTGCTTTGCTGCCAGAGGCGTGGAGGAGCTGCGGCAATGCAGCGGCCGCCGTTGTGGCTCAAGCAGCGCCTGCTGGTCTTAGAGTGCCTGGAGCACAAGCTGTCAGGCGCTTTCCACAAGTTTGCCGCTACACCAGCAAGCCGTCTTCGTCTGCGTCCAGCGATTTCGCGAACTGCTGGGTTCAAAGCGAGTATACAAGCCCTGAGCGGTCAGTGAAGGGGGAGCCCGAAACAATGTCTGGGAATGTTGGAGATCAATGCGCGTGGCAAGCGCGCCGCGGACTGCTCTTCTCAGTCTGCAGCGCGCTGTTTCGCTCGATAACGAGCGCTCAACGCCACGCGCAGCAAACACGACTGCCGGCATATCCCCTGATTCAGTACGTTGGGACATGATGGAAAATATTTATGGCCTGCCCTGCCCCCCTCACCTTTCCCACAGCTGAAGATGCTGCAATCCACATAGGAGTGACCCAGAAAGGTTGAAAGTTTGGCACTGGAGAAGAACTGTTTGGACAAACACCCAGTTACGATGCTTGACCCACTTCTCCTCGAGCCACTGAAAGGCTTAAGACGTCAGCCCAGCCCGCATTCCCTACCCCCAAGGCCCCAACTGGAAATCAAGGGTGCAACACTTGATTCACCCACGCAGGGAAACCAGGAAATTGTTGTATTGTAAAGAAGGGCCTTTGAAAGGATGTGGCCCCTCCCTGTATCATTTCAGGGTGCTGGGATCTGCTCGCGCTTGATCCTGGGCCCAAAACCGGGGTCCCTAAGAATGGCTTGTTTTCAGAAGTTTTGAGCATTGCTTGTGAGTCCTGGTTTCAAGTCAAACGGCCATCGGGCCTCCATTAAAACCATTCTTGGGGTCCCAGTTTCCTCTTAAACTTAAACAACCATTTCACCGGCGAGGCGCCGGTGCCCTTCACCTTCGCGGGAGCGCACTGCACGCAGAACCAGTCCTCCTGTGGCACTTGGGCCAACGGAGGCTGGCAGCACTCGAGGTGCGTCGCAATCTTGCAGCCAGGGCCCATGGCATCGCAGAGAAGCAGGTGCGCCTGAGCGAAGCTTCCGATCCAACAAAAAGTCCGAAAAGCTTGCTGCTTGCCATCGCTTGCCACTAAAGCAACGAAGTATGAAGTAAGGAACTCAGGGAGTGAGAGAAAACCGTTGCAGAAGCTAATTTTTTCTGTGATACCAACGTGAATCATCCCCACCATTTCATCACAAACGGGCCTCACAAACATAATTCCCTTAGTATTGCAGAAAGTGCATCCCAGGGACGGAGAGATCAATCGCGGCAACTTTAGGGAATGAGCACAAACAACGCTCGCAAAGAGGCAGTCAAAATACAGTTCGGCACTTTGCTCAATGATTTGGGCCCCGAGCCTGGCGCAGAAAGCTTGAAGTTCACCGAGTCAGATAAGGACGGCGCACTGTGCTTGGCTGCAGGTTTGTTTAGCCCCTTCCAATGGTGGCAGTAATATGAACTAGGGGCATGAGCGGGCTTCATCAACAGAACCTGCCAGGCTCCTGCATGCGTGTGGATTGGCTAAAACTGTCAAGTGCTGTGCGAAAACCGCAAACAGCAGGCTCGACAAATTTGCCATTTGAGACACGTCCCCCTTTGGCGGTTCCACAGTATTGAGGAAGTCTTTTCAGGTTCCTTTTATTGAATTTCAGGAGAGTAGTGTCAATCTGTCTAGTTCCATGCTTGCATTTGGCTTCCCTTTGACAGACACCCGACATGCTCACCGAGTTTCAATGTCTTCATGGAACAGGTTTGCCTCCAACCAAAAAGCTGACTGGCACCTTCACGCGTCAGCGAACACTCCCGCACCTAAGGAAGCTGACCACATTTCATGAGCACAGAAATGCCTTGCAATATCTTTCCCCTGGAATGCCTCTAAATGCTCATCGCGATGCACATGTCGTGTTTTGCCAGAACCCCCAGACCAAGGGTTCGCCGTGGGCCGTGGCGCCGGGCGCTCCCCCGAGCCGCATTCGGAGCACAGCACCAGCGGCACCGCGGCCGTGGCCGCAGCGGCACGGCAGGCGGTGCAGTACCAATCCCCCTGCACGTTGGGGGTAAAAGATCACAAAGAACCCCCGATTTGGTTGAACCTGCTTGTTGGGAGCGACCAAAAGGGAAAATGAAGGTCAACAACCGGCTCATGATTTTACCGAAGTCACACTGTAAGTGGCTGAAGGAAAACAACCGCTGTTTCTGACTGTGATGATGGTAGAAACTGTCAAACTCATGGGCTTAGATACAGGAAACTAAGTGTTGAACCACGTGAACACCTGCTTGTTGGAAATGATCAACCCTCAAACGGATTCCTGAATGGCAAAATGCGTTTTAACAACTCAGTTCCTGAGAAAGGAAGGGCTGAACAAAGTCTACACTTGTTCACCACTAAAATGGTCTAAAGGTAATAGAGGCCCAGCAACTGAGGCCACCTTGAAAGTGAAACCAAACGAAGGTGTCTGAAACAATAGTGCGTGGGACGTGACATGTTTGATGCTGGGCCCCAGTTGGCGCACCTCAAGCTGCAAACTAATTTCAACAACAACACCCCGAGCTTCTGACGGCCCATCTAGAGCCGCAACCACTGAGCAGGTTGACCATCCAAGTTTCGAGCAACTGCTTAGGACAATTACAGGATTTTTTGAGGGTGTGCTGTTGGCGGTTGTTTTGAGTGGAACCAAAGCGAAACCCAACGTTTCGGGGGTTGGTTTTTGAGGGTTTACTTTGGACCGCGTGTTTGAGACAATGAAGGCGTTTTCTTTGACTCGGTTGTTTGGAGTTGCTTAAAAAGGAAGCTAAAGCGACATCGACCTTGTTGCGGTTCATTTGAGTGACAAGCAAGCAACACGTGGTAGTAAAAGGGGTCTACTCAAAATATCCAACACATGCAGTCTACCATAGACTATGGGACCAAAATAGTCCAAAACTTGGGTCCGTCCATGGACAAACGCTGAGGGCCACTTGAGTTTAGGACAATACCGGACCCCTGGAAGGGACATATTGAAAATGATACACCGTACCATTTAGCTCCATTGCGAGATGAGACATTGGAAAAGCACGGACACGTAGCATGGATGGCTCATGGCCCCTAGTCTTTACTCAGCTGTGAAAATCAAGCAGACCCGGCCAAAGCACAAGCCCTCACATGGCGTCCCATGCTCTTCCAAATCAAACAGATCACCTTCAACTTTTGTAGTCTTGCAGACAAACTGAAAGAAATAGATTTCCAGCCCCCCCTCCTAATTTCGGGGGGATAAAACGTCAAACACCGCGCCCCTTCCCATCTGCCTGAGGAATGGCTTTCAAAGCAGGCCGGCAGCATCTCAGATGCGTCGCGATGTGGCAACCTGGGAACACCGCTCGAGTGGAACTGGGTACGTTCAAATTGTTGTGCAAAGAAACATGAAACCCCGCCGTTTTAGGGGGTCCCCTGTTTCAGGAATTGCCAGAGCCTTGGTGAATTTGAATCATTCACTTCCCACTGAAGCAACCTTCTGTGATCAGCTTTTTCATTCCCACAGATTCAGCATTCATTCAGTCAGCAGCGCAACTGTACTTTGACTCAATGACTGCTAACTACCGCAGCACATCGCTAGTGCTTGGACCCCCCATTGCCACATGGTGCTCTGAGTGACTCATGTCAAACTATTATGAAGAGACCACGAAAGGAAGCAAGCTGAAGTGAGCTGAAATAGGTTGCAAACCAAACTTCTTAGTTCGCCTTCTGTTTCTCCAGTTGACTCCATGGACTGCTTGTTCGGTTTTGTTGCATTTGGTTAAGACCCCTGGGAAAATACACATATTTCCAGTAACGATAAATTCCATTTAAAACCAACAAGGGAAAACAACAAGTATTCTTAAGCAAGCGTGAGTGTTTGTTTGCTTGCTTCACGCCTGGCGCCATGAGGTCGCAGAGCAGCAGCTCCGCGGGCCGGTCCGCCTTGCCGCACTCCGAGCACAGCGTCTCGTAGGTGGGGTCCTCGGGGCGTTTTCGGCCAGAGTCAAACCTGGAGTCCCGTTGGTTTCAAACTGGACAAGACCCGCGTCACACCAACCATCCGAGGCTCACTTCATTCTTACAGCCCTTTGACATACATTGAGTGTGCTGTATTTTGAGAATACCCGCCCACTTGAAGGGCTCTCTATACTCTGAGACATATCAATATTCATCCGCCAATCGAATCTTGCAACATGTCCAAAGCCCTGCATCACGAGCTCGTTTTGCCCCGAAGCGCATGAAGGCCAAGGCGCCCGGGGAGACATCACCACGGGGCTGGTGTGCGGCGCGACCCGCCGGGGACCCGCGCCCGAGCCCGAGCCGCGCGAAGCGGGCTGCGGAGAGCCCGGAAGCTCCGGACTGCGGGGGCTTCGAGGGCTGGCAGCGGAGGAGGGCGACGGAGTGTGGCTCGAAGGGCTCGGGGATGGGGTCGGCCCGCCTTGGGTGAACAGCCACACTGATCCGATCCTGGTAAGAAATGAGCATTTTGCTGGTTGAAGGGAAAATGAAGAACAACCAACAAGGCGGCAACAAGTTCATGAATGGTAATCTAAGTCTGGCAACCCTCAAGCACAAGAAGCAACACCTGCGCCCAGTACAGTACTTGCTTGGCGCACGTTGTTGCTATGATGAGGGCACTTGAGCAAAAGGCTTCGTTAATTTGGGTAAACTCCTGGTTGAATGCGTTGTTCGAGACGCACGCAAGCAAATGCGCAAAGCCCGAGTGCGTGGAAACGCCCCTAAAAGGTGCTTTGTTAGGACCTCCAGGTCAAAGCCAGGGGCCCTTCCCAACTGATTTCCAGTCGGCTTCCCAAAAGCGAAAAACTGGTGTGTCCCAAACGCCTGCTCCTTTTTGCATGGTGTTCAAAGCGAAAACCCGAAAGAATCGAATCCGTAGATGTCTCTGTAGTTTTGACTAGTTTTGACACGTGCCCATTTCTTGAGCGAAGCCATGCGGCGCGTTTTGGAGGTGCGGGGTCGACGAGGTGCAGGAGATTCCTCGGGGTTGCCAAAAGCAGAAGCCGCAAACGCCTCAACATCTGCAGGGTTTTGCTATGCCTTTGGAAGGCTAGAAGTGGGTATGTGTCAAAAAAGACGGACCCCGAAAATGGGTGGTGTCCTTTTTTGCTTTCCTTTCAAAACAACCCCAAAGGGTACCATACCGAGACCGGGCCCTTGGTAAAAGGAAAGCTAACGGAAACTCTTGACTAATGTTCTGCCTCTGTGGTTCGATCCTATTCTAGAGTCTAGGAGAAACCCGGATCTGCCCATCCACGTGTTGTGAAGGGACCGCAAAGACAGCCAGTGTTGGGGGAAGGGGTTCGGGTTTCATGAAAGCTGTCGTGAAATCCATGAACAAGCAGGATTCACCTTGTTCACCCTTCAAGCATCACACCCAAAGGGAACTCACCTCAAGCTTGGCGACCACAAGATGATGCTTGAAGAAAACAACATGGAACATGTAGGAACTTCTGACAACCACATGCATTCCCCCCAGCGCCCCAGTATAGCTGCTAGGCATGTTCGACCTTACGTATCAGAGTTGAGGCCGAGACTTTGCCACCCAGGAGCACAAGGTTCTCAAATATGCATGCCATGTTAACGACTCCTTCACTTGGCATTTGCAGGCATGGGCATAGGGATTTGAGCAAGGCTCTCTATTCAAGGAACCATGATCATGGTCCACAGATCAGCTGTGATCACAGCACATGTGATCATGTTGAATGTCACACACACTTGCCTTGCCGTATGGAGACTTGCTTGCGCAGCTGCGCAGCAGGATCGCAGGATCGTTGTTGATACCGGTATGTTGAAACATGAGGGACCCCTGAAATTTCTTTAACTTCCTTCGACGCCAAAATTGCCTGCAGTTAGTATTCCGCTCCCTGTGTTGGAAGCCTTCAGCGGTGTAATCCCCATTTGCACTAGCTGCATATAATATTTTCACATGCATTGTGCCCAAGATGGGCCTCGTCCTGAACTCTGACAACTGCCAACAGTACACCCGGCATGCAGGGCCGGTGTTAAGTAGTTAAAGGATCTGGGCAGAATTACATCCCACTTATGGTCTACTTCATGAGAAATTAGACAAACACATTGTGGCTTGTTTGGTACGTAGCGCGGATGACTACTGCAGTGTACTGCCGACTGCTTTACGCAGAACGGCATTCGTAAACGCCTCGCGCTTTTGGCCTACCGGATTTTGTTTGGATTGGGCTCTCAGCACAAGAGCCACAACGGCTGAAGAAGCCAAACTGTTGCAATGACAATCTGCACAAGTCATACTCCGCTGGCAAAACAATCTTCATCGTTGGCCTTGAAACATCAGTTCTACTTTTTGACAGGTTGAAACTTGTTGCCCCCGCAAAGAATCGAAGGGCACTTGCAAGAGCCTGAAAAGGGGAAGCGTCTGTTTGTAAGAATCCCAACCCACTTCTTGAAAGGATCCTTTTTCGGAGAAGTTTTAAAGCATAAGGAACCCACCCGTTCTGGTGGTTCCATTCGGAGGTGACCCGCCTGTCCTTATCACTTGGCACGCAGTCGCAGAGCGAAGAAGTGATGGTGTTGTCTGCTCCATCGACAGAAATACAGAGCACATCACACATCACACGCCTCAAATAGGGATCAGGCGCCCAAATATACGTGGGCAGAGTAACAACGTGTCCACCAACTATAGTTGAGTTCGGTTGGCCAAGTCTCCAGCTCCTCCTTGACCTTCCGCGGGGTTCCAGGCGTTGGGCTCAGCGGCGTGACGGGTGTCACCGGTGTGACAGGCGTCCGCGTGGGTTTGCGGCCCGCCTTGGGCTTTGCCTTGGGCTTCTGCTTGGCCTTGGGCTTGGCCCTGGCGCAGGATGTAACGCAGTTGACTCAAAGGGTTGGTTGCAAAGGGCACTTGGAATGCCCGGAAAGGGTTGGGTGCCCTGCTTGGACCCCAGTTGGTTTGGAAAATCTGAGCCCCACACCCTTTTCAGAAACTAAGAGGGAACCACCCATTGCTGTTTTGAACGGAAGCCAACTGGTCCAAAGTAAATTGGAGGTTCCTTGCTTTTCGAGCTGCACCAAGCTGCAACGAAGAATCAGGAGTCAGCTGAGTACTGGAGGAGTCTCCCCAAAGCCATGTGAGCTATCCCCAAATCAAAAGATGCACAAGTGGAATATCTCTAGAGGCTTCGTGTTGAAGGGTCGCCTTCGTTTACAGGGTTTTAGCCCCTATACTCCCTTGCAAATTCAGGGAAGGAACTAAAAACGGGGGAGCCAAAAGGATCCTTTAAAATGTTAATCTGCGAGAAAACAACTTCTCTGTGAAAACATTTGTGGTTGATTTTCATCCATGACTACTCTGTCACTGGCTAGACTTACAGAAAGTGGAAATCCCTGCAACCCAAGCTTCCACCATGAGCCGCAGAGTCAGAAGGTTCCCTCTCGGCACTCAAATGAGGGGGGAACCCAAAAGTCAGACTCTTTGTGTCTTTTTCCGAGGCGTGGAGACAAACCCATATTGCAGCCATCTAGAAAAATCGAAGTCGATCCAATCCCGAGGCCGCTGCACCCCAATTTCAATGTTGAAGGCTGGGCCCATCAAGGAGGCCTTCAAAAAAGAAACGACATGTTTGGTTCTCACCCTGCAAGCCGACAGTTTCAACATGGACTTGGGGCGCGGGGCTGAGGACTCCTATCCACTGTCCGCTTTGCCGATGGCTGTTTGTTTTTTCCCCGAACCCGATATTTCCCCCAAAGTAAATAGTAAGCTCGGCTGGGCGCGGTATGATACCCAATATAATTTGTGTCAAATGGACGGGGTTTGGGTCATTCATTGTCAGTCGAGTGCGTTGGAGCAACTCCCCGCCTCTCAATTTCCACCTCCTGCTTGATGGTCGGCTCGGGTGTGGAGCCGGAGATGCGGTTCTCGACTCGTGGCGTTCGCGGGACTCGCGGGGGGTCGTCATCGATGACGATCTGCTGGCCTCGTGGAACAGGGTTCCATTTATGTGCGAATTTTACTGGGGGGGACCCTTTGGTGACCTTGGTGAATATCCTCGCAGTGGAGATTCATGTCCACCAACCGCTTTTGAGGTGGTTTCCTATCAAACAGCATGGCTCCCCTTGAAGATGGCCCCAAAAGGTGCTGTTGAAACCATTCCAAAGGGAAGTATGGCCCTGAGCGGCTCAAACACCCTCCACAAGTCAAACCATCCAAGCTGGTTTTGAGTTCGGCTGTGGATGGTTGCATGCCTTGGTGTCTTTTTGGCTAAACGACGAGAACCAAACTGAAGCCAGTGCCGTCCAATTGCAAGCAGACTGCCCTAAAATTGGCCCTAAAAAAGGACACCTATTGTCTGGTACTTCTAACCACTACCCAAGGAAAGGCGGACAAAAGGGTGCCAAAGAACGACTGGGTTATCTGCCCAAAGAGCCTTGAATGCTGCCGAAAGGGCCTTGAATGCTGTACCCTTCTTCAATCGTGGTACCGTCCTTCAATTATGGATGTGCACAGAAGGGGTTTGCAAAGCCGCCATTATCTGAAAAAACGCTCTCCCAATTTCACAATTGTTGGAACAAGGGTAAACCCAGATCATGAAACTGGAGTACCCTTTGGAGGCCACCTTCGGCAAATTCAAATGCGAACTGCGAACAATCAGTTCCAGCTGCCAACACTGAGAAATGGGTCTGAATTTCATATAGGGATCCTTCGGTGGACATCCTGTAGGTGGGGATTTAAATCCATCAATCATCCCACCCACCCCAACAAGTGTTTCTTTGAGCTTTCAGCTGTTGCGGAAACAAACCAATTTCCCTCACCCACTTTGGATAGTTTTGAAACAAAGCCGGATGAATGCCGATCCTGCACTAGTCAATCTGGTGGACCAAAGGTGCGTGTTTCATCAACAAGTGATCCGGATACCTTCTCAAACAGGAAGCCCCCTTGTTTTTTGCGGGGGAATCATCACCAAGAGGAAGCTGAACCCGAAAATCAGATCCAAATGTGATGTACAAAACAGGCATGTTTTTTCCACGCAACGTCTTGATACTGGGTACTCCCCAAAAAACAAAAAATGTGGTTTCCCTTTTGCTTCTTACTAGGCTAAACCCTCCCTTTCGCTCGCCGGGCCACTCACCTGGAAGCGCTTGCAGGAGTTGCACTGCGGCCCGTCCGCGGGCCCGCACCTTCCGTCCGAGCCAGGGATGGCGCGTACGCCTAGCACCCGGCCGCAGTAGTAAGTGCCTCTGTAGCTCTCCCCGGTGCCGCGAAGCACCTGGAAATCCCAAACGCAAACGCACCAGTGGACTTCCACGAGCAAAAAAGGATTGGCATTCTTTTTGTTAACCCACCCAAAAAAGAGGACAATTGTACTGGAGGCCTTGGTGTAAGGGGCTAAACAATTTGACTCCTTATCATTCTATGACGAGATTTGGCTTTAAAGTCCCCCACCCCCCCCTTTCTAAGTATGTCACCCTTATGTCCTCAAAGAAGATGGAACCTGAAAGAGGGTATTTTTGTTGGAGGTAAATTGTCTTCCAAGGGGCCTTTTAGGTTCCATGTTTGTTTCTTTAAAAAGTTGTTGGAAGGATAGCCCCGAAGAAGAGTTAAACAAATCTCGCTTCCAGAGTCTGAACTTGTGGCTTGCCACTAAAATTGACTTCCTCAACATATAAAGTCCAGGGAATATGAAATAGAAGGGTAATCCAGATTCGGGGGATGTAGTTAACTAGCTTTATGTTTGTCCTTGGTTGTGCCTCACCCGCTGACAGTCACCTTTTATATATATATATATTATACAAAATAGTTGTGGTTGGCAACACAATTGTATCATGCACTGTTGGTTTGGGAGTGTCGGGTTTTACTGCCTAAACCGGCTCGTAGCTGGACAGGAAAGTCATATAACTGCCCAAGGTTTAACCCACACAAGGGGCATCTTCGTCTTGAAATCGCCGTTTGTTCGAGCTGCCTCTATCCTGCGCCGGATTTGTGTTATCACCTGTTGTTGCCAGGTATGTTCCCTGAGTCCCTGAGTATTAGCGCATTCAGGCTGCTAATTGCCCAAGCATATGGACCATTTTCATGTTTGTGAACCTCTGAGAGACAGAACCAGAATTCAGGAGCTAATGTTTCCTGTCAAGGGCCTGGCTTTGTGTTCGAACGTTTATAAAGCAGGGCTCCCCAAAAGCTACATCCAAAAAAAGGGGACCCTGTTTTTGATGACCCCCAACCTGTTTGCTTGGCCCATAAAATCCCATCATCCAGGGTTAAATGGAGGTGGCAAGCAGATTGGTTGAACACACTGGGTCCCCCATCCAAGAAAATCTGATTCACAGCGGCGGATCCTCCAAAACTGCAGAATGTCATCTTCAATGTGGCCAAAATGTGTCCGCTTGGCAACCCAAGCTTCCACACAAAGAAATGCTCAAAGCCTGGCCTGAAGCCCGTGTCTTTTGCTTGTCCCATGGTCATGCTGGCTTTTGTTTGCCTTCACTAGAATCGCTAAATTGTCGACCGGGCTTTGGGCGCTCCAATGTGGAAGTTGGCAAACGTAAAGCAACCTGTCAACGCATCGAGTCGAAGCGAGCCTGAAGCAAAGCAGGCTCGCAGCCAGTTCTTTGTAATGGGAACACAGGATTACAGTAGACAATTCCTGGTCAAGTTCATAGAGGATGTCCAATCTGAAGAGAGGATCCTTCACTCTTTTGAGAAACACTCCGTAATTTAATTCTGAAGAAGGTTTATTCATCTGGGGTCATTGCGAGGAGAGATCCAGCCTGATCCAGCTGAAGAAGCTTAATGTCCAGCATGGCAGCCCATGTCACGTCTTGGCCCTGTTTTCGGGTTGAACCAACATGTTTGCTTTGGATCCAGAAACACATACATATGCAACCGCTACTTTATCCTGAAAGTTGAGAAAGCGTTCAGTGCCGAACAGTCTTAATTGCTACTGGGGATGTATCCATTTTCAGCCAGACTGAGACCAGATCCGAGATTCCGTGAACCTGCTACAAAAGGGGGAACCCTTTCCGGGTTGACCATTTTGAATTGGAGGATCCTCTGGGAAAAGAAACAAAAACAAGTGCGTAACAACTAATCACGCGCCTGACAACCCTCGTCGTTGACGTGCGATGCTTTGAAGCTCTCCTGGACGAAATGGAAGCGGGGATTTCGCTGGAACTGGAAGCATTTCGTCCCTGAAACTCGGGGACAATAATAGCGATTTGCGACGTCACCCATGATGAAGCTTTCTTTTATAGGGATTCCGGGATCCCTGTTTTGCGGTTGGTGAACTACAATAACTTCCCCAAAACAAACTAACATTCTCCAAGATTCTCCGGGAAAGAGTAGTTGGATTCCCACCTCCTGAGCCTTCAAGGCCTTGGGTTCATTCAAGTGACATGAATTTGAACCTCACAGTGGCTCAAAGCAAACGGCCGGGACCCAAAGGCAGTTTTGAGAACCCATCAACAGGTTTACTTTAAGGGACCCAGTTGGGTCCCAGCCAAATCCTGCCAGGCGCCAAGCTTTATGGCTTTCCAACAAGCTATGGTCATCTACCCACAACCCGGCATCTCATCTCATAAATCTATGGTCAAGCATCTGCCCAGAACCCTCCGTCATCTATGTACCCAAGTCTGGCTGGAATGTCCCAGCCACTAGCCTCAAGAACCGTCGGTGCGGTTTGTGGTTTCACGTGCCCGACCACCAGGAAACTTCAGGATGTGAACTGTAGTTGGGAACTTATTGGTGGTCATCATTTAGGTCGGAATTTATGTCCACCAACCACTCTGAAGGGGGTTCCCATTGAAATTCATAGCCAGATGGTGGGCAACAATAATATGTTTGCAATGAGGAGGACAATGGGTCAACAAGTGGGACAACTGAGCTCATCTTGATGGAATGAAACGCTCAGGTCGCCGTTTTCGTTGGGAAGCCGGCTGTGCAACGATCTTCTGAGTAGAAGGAATCCTTCAAACAAGTGAGTGTTCTATGCATAAAAACTGCGTTCCATTGAGGACGAAGGACGAAGTATAGTTGTCCTGCATGCTCACCCACAAGGGCCCCTAATTTTGACAAACCAAACATAACAGTTCTTGTCGATATGATTTGCAGTTCTTTTTGGGGATCGATGACGGCTAAGGTGTCCTGAAGCCGCTGGCAGGAGGGGCACTGCGGCCCCTCTTGGGGCCCACACTGGCCCCCAGTGCCCGCCACCACGCCTGGCCTGCGCCAGAACCCATGGAATAGAAGTCCTAAAGAAAGCTTCGCGCGCAATCCTCCCACGGTGATGCCTGCCCAAACAAAGGACAAAAGGGTCTTTGTGACTCCGGGGAGAAAAAGAGAGCTGCAGCTACACCCAATATGTCCCTTTCAGGTGGTGTCGAACGTCAATATGTTGGGAGGCTCAAACTAGATTTGGTTAACGCCTGGCAAAAACATGGAAAACCATTGGTTGTTCAAACAGCCTACTTTTCGTTTGCTTTACCCACCCCCACACACCCACCCAACATCTAGTAGAACACGCATTCACCTCTCGCAGGTTCGACGAAGGCCTGCCACAGTAGAAGAGGTAGCAGGACTTCACGCTGGTGCTCCGCTTCACGGGGTAGCCGTCATCATTGAGGTCTGGCTCCTTACGGTGGGCAAATTTGTTTCAACTCTACCGCTGGCCAGGCGCTACGTAAGAATATTTGGGCCCACTCTGATGTCGGCTTCTCCAAGCTCTTTCCAACTGAGTTTAAGCCTTGCACGGCGCTTCTCGAAATCAGGGCCCAGGGTTGTTCCCCTTTGCCCTCCTTTTGAAGCTATCCAAATGGCGGTTTCCTATGGGGAATGATATGTTATGGGGGAGCTGTTGATAGACATCAATTGCACAAGGACTTGCGTCGAGCAAGCATTTTCGGCAGGTTCCATTCACATTCAGGGCCATTTTGAGACAAACGCACGTGAGCCTCGGTCTGTACTACTCGCTTCCCAGAGGGGACATGGATAAATTTAGTGAATCCCCCATGTCCATACCAGACGCTTGACCAAACCTCATGTCCAGGCCCCAAACCCATTGCCTTTTTGTTCTACCAATATAGTATAATGGTCACAAAGCTTGAAGGAGGCTGTGCTAAGCTCAAATGTCGGGGGGTGGCTCTGCGCATGCGAGGCGCATAGTTGATCTGGAAGCGCGCGCACGCGTGACACTGGGGGCCGCCCTCTGGCCCACATTGATCAGCGGCGCCCGGGACATCCGAGGGGTCCAGGATGCGGCCACAGTACCTCAAGTTACGGCACCGCACAAATTCCTGTCCCTTGGTTTCCCTTTGAAGCCAACCTCCCTTGGGACCCCCCCCACCCCGGAGAACAAGGAAAACCCCCACCGAAGGGGCAAAAGTCACTGGGAGTGCTGAAATCTAAAAACCGAGGTGCCACCGGCCACGGAAGCCTGCCTGCGTGCCCAAGCGCACCATGAAGCCATCGTCATTCTCGGGAACCTCGAGAGCCGAACTGCGGCTCCAGGTCGAACAAGGGGGGGCTACACGACACTTTGGGAAAAAACATCAAGGAATCCTTTGGTGGACAGCATTAAGTGGGGACTCGTGTCTAACCACTCTGGAGGCGGTGCCCTGATAGAATCCATGGCCTTTTGTTTAGCCTAGGGCGCTTTTTCTGCCGTCTGGTGCGATTGGGCTGTGAGTAGCCCCCGATCCCTGCCAACTTGGCGAGTGTGGCCCACCGTTACTGTCAACGCCCTATGAATCCCCCCCAGTGACGTCGCACTTGTTCTGTGAGGATTACTTTCTGCCAATGGAACCCCCCATTTCATCAGGGGCAAACCTTGGTGCAAATAATAGCGAATATTCACTGTTGCTCCTGAAGAAGCTTCCCTTGGAACCAGCAAGTGCTGGTTGAAGCTTCGACTTCCTGTCTTCAATCCATATGATCCAAAAACAGAAACTTGAATCAGCCTTGTGGCGTGGTTTCCTTCAAAGAAACCCCTGTCAGGTTGCCCAACAAATAATCAATAACCCTGAAGTCCCCTACGCTTGCTCTGATTAAGCCCGAACATAATAACGCATCTAGGCGGTGCCTGGAATGGTTAAAGGAACCGCATTCGCCTGAAATCTGAAAACAACTCAACCAACACCCTTTCATGAATCAAGAGTCTCACTTTTGGGATTGTATTGGGGGCATCTGAAAAAGATCGAAACAACGCTTGGGCGGTCTGTCTGTGGTCCCATTTGGGTATCATGTTTAAATGGCATCTTGAGTGGACATCGCCTACGAGTACATGAGGACTTTTGAAGAACCTATTGAACATAATTTCCGGATGAGACAAATCCTGCACTGGTTGTGATGAAAAAAGTCCTATAAATGGGATAAACCCTGCTTCTCCGGATTTTGTCCATCCACTCAAGTCACAGAAACTCAGGGTAGCAAGCCATTCTGCAAAAAAGCCGCCGCAAAGGAAAACCAAAGCCCCCGCCTTGCCATGCGAGTGCGGCTGCGTGGATAGATTTGGCGGGGGCGGCACCGGCGCGCCCGCGCCAGCCTGGGGCTTCGGGTCAAGTGAGTGGCAAAGGGGGCCAGAGGGGTGCGTCAAAAGGGCCCAAGAAGGGGGTCCACGGCGTCCATATGGTTTGGATCTACATGCACGAGCATTTCACAACAAGTGGGTGGGCTTTGCCTTTGAAGTCCCCAATCGCGCCCGCGACAGTCTCAGAGCAAGGGGTCCCCTGCCAACGTCTTGACTGACCAACCAAAGAATAGGAATCCCCTAGGCCCTATGGCCGTATCCCCCGAAAAAAGAAACGGAAGCAACTGGAGGTCTGGGCTCTTCCACAACTACATCTGGTTCCTGCCACCTTAAACAAATATTCAATGGAAACACCCGCCACTTTGTACTCGCTTCCCTGCGAATGTCCCCAAGCCCCGCAATCTTCGCAGCCACCCCTCGGTACTTGCATTTGTGTCTCTAAGCCGGAAAAGAACACAAACCTCATTCGGTTGCTTTCTGCTCCCCTGCTAACAGTTTAACTTTTAGTGGTTTAATGGAAAACCCATTAGTTGGCAAAAAGTTAAAGTGCTAACATCCCTTGGCAAAACGCACCAAAGCTCATGCGGAGTTTGCTTGTGGTTTCCCCACGGCCCGACGTCGCCTTCTTGGCCCAGCTGGACGCCCAGCGCCAAGTGGAGGTCGCCGTGCGCCTTCTGCGCGCTGCCGGCAGGTTGGCGCCCCCCGAGCGCCCTGGCGAAGATGCTCCAAACAAACGAGCCGTTTCTCGAAATCAACTCTCCAACCCCCCTAACTCCCCTGCAGATTAACATAATGACCAAAGAATCCAGCAAGTAACCTCATTGTTTTAACAACATCCTTTTGGAACCCACAATTGGGATTACATGTTAGTCGGGGGAACCAAACGCCCGCAAAGTAAGCTGTCTGAAGGAAACCGTTTAAAAAATTGTGCGATTTGTTCAAACAAGAAGTTATCCCATCCCTGCCTGTGCGGCGCTTTGCACTCGGCGAGGAGCCGGACGCCGCGGCAGGTCCGTCGGACGCGGCGCTGTCGGGCGCGGGCTGCGCCCAAGGGAACATGGCGGATGTCACATGCGTTAGTCTGCTGCTAGTTGACTAAGAGGAAGCGAAGAACAGAAATCAACAGCCACGCCTTGCGCGATGTGAAGCTTCTGGCCTTGCACAAGGTGGTGATCGCATGTAAGGGGTTCGGAATACCTGCAGCATAAAGGACCATTGAATTTGCCCCTATGGCATGTCCGTGAGGCAGTCCAGAACTCGCCTGAGCTGCGCTGAGGCTGAGGCCGGAAGAGCCACACGAACAATCACTCATTTGCAGACTGGAAAACACGCACAAGTGTTTGGTGCACGTGATCAATATGGCAGTGTGATGTGCACTGGCCAGTCTTCTCCTTTCCTGGTTCCTTCACGTGACGAGATTCTCAGCTTTATTTTGGTGGCTAGCCCAACACGTGATGCACACAATCCTGCAGGCAACAGAAACACCATGGCGCTACCAATTAAAAGGTTTTGCAACGCCCGGCCTGTTCACTACTCGTCAGGACAAAAACAAACTGTACTTCGCAGCCCGCACTAAATCGGAACAGAACCAAGAAAATTAAACACGCCAAGACCCAGCGCCTGTTTTTGCTCAGCCGCATTCGCCGCTCTACGTAGCTCCGTCCAAGAGATGGACCTCTGCTTCATGAATTGCATGATCCTGAGCATGACCTTCTGCCTCACTGGACATGATTTACAAAACAACACGGGTGCAGCTGCGATCTTGTTGCTGGATGTCCTTCGAACATTTCTGCCAGTGGCCAGCCCTCCTTGCCTCGGCAAGCCTTTCGCCGCTCAGTTGTACAATCAGCGATGCAGGCCGGGTCGCTCCGCGTCTGGGGAAGTCGTCGTCCTGGGCCAATCTGCGCTTTGCGGTCTCGGAGCCCCCTCATGGCCTTGGTCAAAAACCCAAATGCCGCCGGCTGCATCAGGAGGAAAAATATCTTTGTGTTATCGTAAAATGCCCCTTGCTGGTAAAGTGGCAGCACCAGCAGCGGCAGCAAATGAGCAAGCAAACACACATCCCATCAAACAAACAAACCCATACAAGCAAGCAAGCAAGCGAGCGAGCAAGCGAGCAAGCAAGCAAGCAAGCAAGCAAGCAAGCAAGCAAAAAACCAAGGAAGCGAACAAGCAAGAAAACAAGGATTATCCAAAACAAAAACACAAAGCATACATAAAGACATAAAGACAAACAGACAGACAAACAGACAGAAAGACAGAGACACAGAGAGAGAACAGCGGGCGGGCGGGCGGGAGGACAGGACAGCAGATGGATGGAGAAGCAAACAACATCTGCAAACGCACATTCAACATGCACGAACACGCAGAAACGCATTGGCAAACCCTCAGGTGTATGTGGATGGACACAATCCTGCACTAGTTGAGTTGGGATTGATGCACTGATGCACCCCTATCAAGACCTTGCAACTGGTGCGAAATGGAGTCTGTCCATCACCCATCTCCCTGTCATCCCTCAGTCCCAGGTGCTCAGCGGTGCAAGCGGCAATGGCTGTCTTGCCCGGTGTCCAGGAGGGCGCAGAGCTGGCCGTACCTCAAGCGCTTGAGAAGAAACGGTGCTCACAGCATTTTGGTGAGGGAACCCCCGTCTTAGTATATATTTGATTGTTCAACCGAGGATTCTCAACCTACCTGGAAACCCATATGTGACGTTTTTTTTCTGTCCATACGGCTTGGGGCACAAAAAAATGACCATACGGTTATTTACGTCTTTTTGTCAACAATTTGTTGAACAAATACGGGTTGCATACTTCCAAATATGGCCATTGGCCAGCAAAAAATGACCATACGGGAAAAATGATCCAAATACGGGTTCCGTCCAAAAAAAACGGCGATACGGCTTTCCAGGTATGCGAATGCCATTCCTGTCTCCTTTGATGGCCCTATCGATGAGTTTTCCCACACCGTCCAGCCTCGCACCCCGAGACAGGGGGCCTCGAAAGCACGTCCAATTCCTGTCCGAGTCAAGCTTCAGCCTTTAAGTTCGAACTGAGTTGCACCTTTGTAATTTAAACTGCAAACAATTGCCAAATACTTGACGTGTGGATCAACGCCGAACCCCTGGGACCCAGAACCTCAATCATGGCTAATTACATTACGGAAAGCGGATCCGCTTCTACCAAAGGGCAGCAATTGGGTCATGGAAGCCAAGGCAACCCGGCATGCTTTCCAAGCGGATTGTTCCAGCCGCCTCCCATGTCCTTTTGATGACGTTTCTGGATGTTACCCAAAGGGAAAGCTCTCATCTTTCTCAATCCTCGGAGTCAAAGGAGCCAAGGGAGCCAACAGCAAAGGAGCCTATGGCGGCGCTTGCAAGCCTGGCTCGACTTAATTATTTGAATGTAAGAAGTTAATCGTCGAGTCGGTCATCACGTAGACTCTAGGAAAAGCGAAAAGGTCGAAAGGTTGGTCGAATAGTTATGGAGATATATCACCTGTATTGGCCCTTGGGACCCTCATTTCATGTTGATCTGGACAAACCGGTTGCGGTGTACCAGAACTAGCGCCGGCAGCCCAGTTGGGTTGCAACTCTGAACCTCTTGAAAGGGACCCGCTGTCTTTGGCGGGCTAACATCAAGACAGAATTGGCCTTCACAAAGGAAGCGGATTTGTTCTTGCCCGCCCATAGGCTTTAGGAGACAACCCCAACCTTGTCCCAAACACAAAAATTTGTGGAAACTTGAATGTAAGTTTTAAATGGAAGACACCACTTTTGAGGTTGTTTCAACATTGTAATTCTTCACCATTGGTTTTGGGACTCGATCCCTGAGGTGGACTCGACAAAGGTGGCTCCTCCAAAACCCCGCCGAGCCGCAGCTTGCGGAAAGCTTTCTCAGAGGATCATAGCTCCTTGCAAGTGCGAGGTGACGAGGATACTGCCCCGAGCATTGGGAACTGACAGGGGTCACCCAAATGGGAGAATCGTCTGCAAAGAACAAGTGTTTGTGGCGGTTCCCTGACATGGCTGTGTCTGTCTGTGTGCTTGTACTTCTGTAGTTCTGTGCGTGCGTGCGTGCGTGCGTGCGTGCGTGCGTGCGTGCGTGCGTGTGTGTCGAGGTAAAAACCCTTTCTTCTTTCTTTCTGGTCTCTCTTTGAACCCTGTTGGTTGACCCTTTGGTGGCTCTCTAGTGTCATTCGGTCTTCGGACCTTTGACCTATGCCATCTGAAAAAACACCAGTGTGTGTGTTTGTGTGTGTGTCTGTGTGTTTGCCTGTGTATCTGTGTGTGTGTGTGTGCGTGTCTGCGCTTGTGTTGGTCTCTGTGTGTGTGTGTGTGTGTCTGTGTGTGTGTGTGTCTGTGTGTGTGTCTGTGTGTGTGTGTCTGTGTGTCTGTGTGTCTGTGCGTGTGTGCATGACTGCGCTTTTGTGTGTGTGTGTGTGTGCGTGTCTGTGTGTCTGTGCGTTTGTCTGTGTGTCTGTGTGTGTGCGTGTCTGCTCTTGTGTGGGTCTCTGTGTGTGTGTGTCTTCATGTCTGTGTGTTTGTCTGTGTTTGTCTGTGTGTCTGCGTGTGCGTGTCTGCGCTTGTGTGGGTCTCTCTCTCTCTCTCTGTGTCTGTGTGTCTGTGTGTTTGTCTGTGCGTGCGTATCTGCGCCTGCGTGGGTCTCTCTCTCTCTCTCTGTGTGTGTGTCTGTGTGTGTCCGTGTCTGTGTGCCAGCGTGTCTGTATGTGTGTCTCTGCGTTTGTTTTCCTGTGTATATGTGTCTGTGTGTGCGTGTCTCTTGTGTCTGTGTGCTTGTGTGGGTGGTAAGGGTACCCTCTTCAGGTTGGTGGTTGAAAGAGAAACCAAAGGAACCCCGCCATTTTAAGGGTCCAGCTGCCTGTTTTGACATACCCAAACAACGCCTACAACCGTATGCCGAAACTAGCGCGAGGTCAACAACATCTGCATGCGCCATCCAGGCAAGGGGGAACGGTGCGACACGATTTGGCTGATGGCACTTTGTGCATAAACCGGATTTGCCCAGCCTGGGTTTCACGCTTGTTCCCTTCACTTGGAGGTCCACAAGTCGGTACGGCGGTGACTTATTGCCCTATTGAAATATTTCATACTCATTTATTGGGCACTCTCACAAGTTGAAAAGGCCGCTACTGCAAGGTTGGTTCATGTTTTCACTCTCCGTGCACAAGCGGGCACGGAGCCTGGGTTCCGCATCAGCAGAGCCACGCAAGTACGACCTAATACAGACATCACAAACTCATAAACATAGAAGTACAACATCTGGAGAATACCTAAGCCAACTCACAAACAAACTATCAGTGCGCCGGGAGAGGCCCAAAACCTGATGCTTCACCTGATGTTGAAAGGCCTCAAGGGATATCAATTGACGATAATCGCTTTCAGGGCTCGCTTGGAGCGAGCCCTAGCTGTCAAATAGATTGGATTCCATTGCTAAATGACAAGGGCCAGAACTCAAAGCAGTAGAATCCATCTGGGCATGTCTCAACATGGGTCGCTAACTAAATAAAGACACCTGTGGTTTCACGCCCACCAAAAGAGGGCACCCGCCAAAAAGAAAACACCATCAAGGAAATCGGTCTAGCCCGCAGTGGGGATCGATCCAGATACGCAAAAACGCTGCGACCTTGCCTCGAGCTCGTCTGTCGCTGCTTCCAAAACGCCTCGGATCTTCGCTGGAGACGATATTCACTGGAGAAAGCAGTGTTTGAATTGGATCATTGGACATTGTGGAGGGCAGCCCCCATTTTCTCATGGTAATTTGCGAGTGCACCCAACATCTCCTTTACTTCAACACATGGATGGTGAATGCTATCCTTTGCTCAGACTGCTGGCCCTATGAATGTCTTACCACTATAAAAAGAAGTGGCCCAATCACACATTGCCCACAACCATCCACCTGAAGCGGACTCTCAAATAACGGGCATCCATTAGGATGAGCTCATAAGTCGACGGGGCGGTACGGGCCCCATGTTGCGTATTTTCAACTTGGGTGGCAGTACATACTAAACACATTTGTTCTTCGTAAAGGTTGTGTATCTATACAAGAGAGATCAGGAGGCCACGCCAAACGCCACCCGTCTTCGAGATGGTTGTGCCTGGGTTCTAAATGGGGGGTTCTGCACAAACAAAAACCATTTTGCTTCATTTTCGGAGACACAATGCAGCTATGGGCTCTTTAGCCGACTTTTTTCAAACTCGGGACCTCTTGGTGGACATCACCTGGGGATTCATTTCCACCACCCACTTGGTTCCCTATCAAAACCTACATGGCTTCGGGGGTGCGAAGAAAGAAACAAAAAGGATTCGGCTGTTCTCGCGTTCCAAGGCCTTCGCGAGAAGCTCTGGAGGCGTCGGGGGTCAGCCAAAGGCTCAAGGTGCACAGCTGGCCGCTGGAGATGTCCAGCCCGTGCAGGTTGTGCGCTCCTGATGTTCTTCTAGCCCAAGCGTTTGATTGCTTTAAAAATGGACCCTTGTGGTTGGTGTTTAAGGGTAAAAAATAATGGACATTATTCTTGGATTCTCTTTATATCCAGTCTACCCTGAAAACTTGAAGTATGGAGGAAACCCCATAAAAATTCAACCTACCCCACCATGCAACCCACCAGAAGTTGGGCCCTCCACTCGTGGGAGGGTAGATATCTACTTGCCCAGCGACCTAGTGGCCTAGTGACCCATTTGTCCTTGGGGTTCATCGTTTCTGGACCGAAATCCACCCAGCAAATGGAAAACAAAGTGGAATCCACTGGAGGACTGGGTGGATGGTCTGGGAGTACTAAGTGGGAACTCACTTCCTGAGTGGATGTTTCCCCGAAAGCTCCAAAGCTCAGGAACTAAGGAAGCAAGGTTGGTAGCCGATTGACTCCTTGGGGTTGGCCATTTAGTCAATGCCTTGATCATCTAGGACCGGGTTTGAACAGGAGTCGCCTTGGCCACTCACGGAAAGTGGCAATCTGAACGCAATCATTGTCCACAACCTTGCCCAACCCAATTAGGCCCAAGGAGTATCACCGGAACAGCACATGACTTTCCCCACAGATTGCTTGGAGTCCAAAACGCACTTCACTTGGAGCCCCACGTTATCCAGAAGCATCGCTCGAGAAGCTGACCTGTACCCCCCTTTCCCACATGTTCAGTGACCTTGGAAGACAAGGAGGGCATACTTGCGGTTGAAGATTCAGATTGTTAGTGATAGCAGGGCAAACGCAAAACACAAAAGGGACTCTGTGGGTGCCAAGCTCCAAGGCGAACACAGCAAAAGCTGATAGCAGCAAAAGGACTATTTTGTGGGGGCGACCCAAGTCTCAAACAGAAAAGACACGAAGAAAAGCACACACGCACACACACATGAGTTGTTTGTTTTGTTTTGTGTTTTGTAATATGACAATCAACGCATCATCGCAAACCAGAAAAAGAACCCAAACGATGAACAACACAGAAAGGAAACAACACCGCAAACCACTCGGTGAAAGCACGCAAACAGCGCAACAGCGATCGCGGCGAAGGCCCGACGGCCACAGCTCCTGCTGCAAAGGCCACCGCCTTGCCCACGGCGGGGTTCACCCAAACGCGGTCCGTGGAGTTGAAGTGCGGGGTGAAGTAGAAGCCGCCCTGGACCGCACTCGTCTAAGGCCCTACGAGGGTTGCACGAAATTGAGGACCACCGTTTTTCACGTTCTTAAACAAAACTCCGTCCCCTATTGAGAGAAGCACCCCTATTTACATGCCCCAAATGGACGTACCCCACCTCTAAGCCGCAAGCCTGGATTTTGGGGTATGCACCTTCGGCACTTTCGTTACCAGAAGGCTCATTGCCTTGTCCGGAGGATGGACCACCACTCTTCGGGCAGAGGTTTAAGGGACAGAAAACACCAGTCAAGCTTGGCAACCATAACACCAGCGGGAAACCATGAAATAGTTTCTAACAACACTAGTCCAACCCGAACTCCCAAGGATGGAAACTGATTCCGCAACACTGCTGCAGGATCGCACCCTTCCGTTGCAAATTCAGATGAAATAAATTGATAATCACCAGCCATGATCATTGCCCATTGAACAACTTGCTTGAGGTATGACTCATGCATTGAGCGCAAGCTATTTGGGAATAGAAAGGGTAGATTTCATGTGTTGAGAATAGTCGCATACTGGTGTTTCCAAATATGGGGTCCCTTTTGCTTGCTAGCTTCCCTGCTGGTGTCCCTTACAATTCTAGGCTTTGGTTTTCCCTTCTAGCACTGTACCAGTCAAGAAGAGAGTGTCATATTTGTCTTGCTTCTCTTGTTTTCTGGGATCCTTCGAACTCATCATGAACCAGTCCCAATCAGCGATTTCCGCCTGAAAGTCCCTGCGCCTCGAAGTCATCGGACTGGTGCAGGAAAAGAACCTGAGCGAAACACAGGCCTGAGGGTAGGAGAGAACCACATGACAAACCTCAGCCTTATGTTTGAAAATACTGTATGAAGAAGGTATGATGAGCCTGGTGCTTTTGTTGTCCATCCGCGGGCCCTGAAACCGCCAGGAAGCGTTTGGGGCGCTCTCTGCGCCCCCCCTCTCCACAAACCTGGAACCAGACTGGGGGTTCTTGACAAAACCAACGGAGGGTTCCATGAGGACTGGCGGGCACTCACTTGTTCCAAAGACTCCGGAGATAAGCTCACGGAACGATAAGCTAAAGTGACACAAGGTTGGCTTTGCTCAACAGCATCGGTGTTCAAAGCAATGCCAATTGGTTGCAAGAAACAAACACGTCCTATCCAAAGGTCTGATGCAGGGAGCTTTGGGTCTTCGGACAGTGTTTGTTCTTTGCATTGGTTTGGGAAATCGATCCTTCTTGTTTAGGCCAAAGAGCAAAGCAGCCCCGTCAAAGCACCAATTAGTCAAAAGCTGAATCTAAGGGTCTCCTATTGACATTCACACCCACATGTCAACCAGCCCATGATGTTCCTCTTGTAACCAATGGTTGCAGCCTGAACACTTGACGAGTGGAGTTGGACATCCACGTGCCCACATATGGAAGGGAAGTAGGGGTAACCTGTAAGATAAACATATATATATATATATACAAATCAGGAACCCCAAAATTATCCGGACGGAACAAATGGGTGCCCACGCCGCCATGTGGCTGCGCCAGAACATGGCGGGGAACTTCCGAAGGCAATCCGCACCCTGCGGCCAATTGGGCGATACATCGACACCAGTGTTTTTTGAGTAATGGGAATCCTGGAGTAAACCCCTGATTGAACTTGATTGGGGGATATCCCTTCGGAATCTGGATCACTTTTGTGAGTAAGGCTTCTCTGTTGGTAGGATGGGTCCTGATGGGTTTGACAATCCGGGGTTCCCATTAGCCTTTGTCAGCGTTCCTCAAAAGGATACATCCAGGCTTAGAGATCAGGTGATCTTATCATAAGTTCCACGTTGTTGTTTACCCAAGGTAGGGGACTCTGTTGTTTCAACCCCCATGGGCCCAAATCCAAAATTTGAGGTTTGATTTCCCAGAAGCCTGCGGGGTCACAACATTTTAACCCTGATCTTATTCGTGAGTCTGAGCCGTTTCGTTGGTTTCTGCGGTTGCGGGTTTTGCCGGGTCGCGCATCTTGCCCATGTGACTGTTTGTACACGCTATGCGGAAAACACATCGGCCAGGGGCCCTGTCATGTATGTTTGCCAAACAAGAAAGGCCTATACACATACTGAGAAAGAGAAAGCACGCATGGCTCCTTCACTGGCCCAAGCTGGTGCTTGCCACACGACGTATGAAGGAGACATCCTCAGGATCCGTCTGCACACTTACTTGGATAAAAGAGGTCAATGGGGTGCAAACAAGTGATCCTAGCCCCTAGGTCTTCAATGGCGACAGCTTCAATGGCGACAGCGCTATGACTCCACCATAGAAATCAAGTTGGTAGCTGGGGTGTAGTTGGTGGGGCTACTTCAAGGCAACAGTTTTTGGGTGAACCGCCACTTGAAGCTATGAGGATGTCGTGTTGGTGGACTTAGCTTTCGCGGTGATGCGGCATCTGCCAGCGCGCCTCCTTGTAGCAGTTTGCCGCCTGAGGAGGAACTGCATCGGGGCCATGCCGGACCTAGGCCGGGACACCCAAATCCAAGGCCCAGCGTGTCAAAAAGGCCTAATATGTGAAACAAAACATTTCTGGTTTACCAAACTTGAACTAACTATGCCTATGTTGGGCTCTGCTGTCTACAAGTACCTCTCATGACTCATTTGGAACAACCCCCCCTGCTCGGCAAACATAATGAACAAGGACGATGCGCGATGAGTCTCTTGTGACATGGGGGCAATCCGTATCCATTACCATTCCCAGTTGTAGCCTACTGTAGAAAGTAAAGGGCTACTAGGTTTAACACTTCTTTTGCCGGGACACTGACGGCTTTGCCAAAAGGGCATTGACAGTCGAGGGGTCATTCTGATGCCATCCGTCCACATGAACCTCTCTTGGAACCCTCGCGTGCCCTTGCACGGGGATGTTCATCGATTTTGGGGCCACTCTGATAAGCAGTCTCCTCGGGATTCCGAAGAAATGAAAAGGGTCCAATGCTTCGTTCGCCCAACGAGACAGATTCTCGAGATGCCTTCACATAACAAAAGCCCACAGAACTGGGAGGCGCAAGGATGAGCTTTGCAAATAGCCATAATTCATAATTCGTTTGGTTGTGTCCTAACATGCAAGTTGCACCACATAGATGGCGTGTGACATAGATTCCATTCACATACTATTCTAGAGAGCTTAATCGCAGGGACAAACATTTGGTGCACAGCTTCACCTTGTCACAAGGACAGCGATGCCATGCGATCGGACAACCCCCCCTAACCCCTTTGGCTGTACTGGTGCCCAAATCCTTGGACTGCAGTTGTGCGGTACTTCACAACCAAATCATGAGCATAGGAGTGTGAATCAGCAAAACCGTTTATTCTCATTCTTCAAGAACCCTCACACTCCCCTGCCCCACCTTATGTCCCCCATCACATCGCGATCGAGGGGGGGGGGCCGGGGGCCTGGCTTTGTGGCGCTCGCGGCGGAAGGACCGCCAGCCTTCGGAGTCCCCATCCTGGACTTCTGACCTAACAGCGCAAAGCTGACTCGCTGCTGCGATAGGTAGGGTGTGAGAAATGGAATGAACCCAGGGATTCCCGAATAAAGAAAACCACCAGTTGGGTGGTTTATAAGGGTCATTCAAAGCCGAGCACCAGCAAGATGAAGGACTGGGTCTGCGATTGACAACTCAAGTCGGGAAATAACCGCGCGGTACGCACGCCAAAAAGCCCCACATGGGCCCCAGTGCAAAGGACTGCACTACCCCGGTAAATCATGATAACCTACCGGGTGTCCTTGGTCCTTTACTTGCAATGTTTAGGGCATCCCCTTACCGATGCGAAGGACTGGGGGACCACACAGGGCCCCCCTTACTGATTTGTGTGAGTGAAAGGCAGCAAAACAAGGGTCTGCCTCCAAGGGGTCCTGGATCTTCGGAACTATGTCTTCCAATGCTTTCTCCCATGCCCTTGCGCAGCCCAAGCTACATGAGTCCGTTCCGAATCTGCCGACTGCGCTCTGCAAAGCAAAAGAAAGGACAAAATAGGGTCCATCGTTGAGGCCAATGCTAAAAGCTTGATCTGGCTCCTAAATGAGCTTTGCAAATCCTTCGCAGCATTTATCCCTGCCCAGTTGGGGCGATGTGGAATGCAACACTCTCTTGCTGCATTGCCGGATGCTGAATCACCGCCAGAAAGAAACATACCCGGCTACCAACAGTTAACGATTAATCAAACCTGGTATCAGCGCGGTCTACCCAAATCTACTAGTATGTAAACAATCAGAAGAGCGGCTGCACCTCCTTATGGTTTGGATTCTCCCTTACTAATCTTCACCTACCCTGGTTTTGATTGCGGCTCACTTCTGATACTGCAGGTATCTAAAACGATTCTCTGAAACTTGCAGAACAAACCGGTGCCAAATTACTGGGTGGCTCCAAGCCCCCCGACCGAAGAAAGGGTCGTTAGAGAAGCCATTTGCTTTCAAAAAGTCTCTCCAGGCGATTCTGTCACACCAAAGGCCAGCCACTGCTGCCTTGAAGCACTGGACAATTGCATTCGGAAGGATCCACAACGTGGCTATGTGCCGCAACAGCGGGACCCCCCCAGAACGATGGCGTCCCTTTTGCTTTCCCACTAAAGCAAACTTCCAGAGACTATGAATGGATGAAGTGAGTTTGACAATGATGCCCAGCAAAGCTCTGAGGGAGGGGCTGCGACTTGAAATACCTCAGCAGCATAGGCGATCGACAAACTTGATACATGTATTCATATTTATGCTTCATCAAGCGGTGCAAACATGGGCGATCGAAAGTACGATTTGCGCAAACAAGCAGTTGTTATGAGTTTGCCAGTAATTTACTACACAACCTGCCAAAACACACCTTGGCTAAGCATCCCACAATCTATGTTGTCTGTTACTGCAACTTGAGCCCTGCAAGACAACGGCACCAACTACCTCCGCCCCACCGCAAGTTCAAAATCCACACGCTGACCAAAACACGCTGCAACTAGGTTAGGATTTGTTGTACCTCAAAACCACAGAGCTTTCGAAATTTAGAACGGGCACTGATAGGGCAAGTGCTTGTTCAATCACGGGGCTGGCTGTTGCTTTTTGGAAGGTATCAGGCACCCCGCTTCCGCGTGTCAAAAGGCAGTTGGGCGTTGACCAACAACCCTCAGCTCAAAGGTTACCGTTTGGAGCTGGTAGGCTTTACCCAGAACATGAGACATATCTACTTGCTTTCCCTGAGGGTTTCCGTGCCCCGATGTGTTGTGGGGGAACGTAGTTATCAACCTTGGTTCTTTGAGTGCAACATTGCATGCTCTGGTGTTCAATCCATTTGGTAAGTGGCCTATGCACCAAGGCTTTATGAGAGCTGGTTGACTTGCAACCGCATATAATCATTGTTGTCACCTACTTTCCAAACAGCGCGCTCCTGCCTTGAGAAGGACAGTTGGGCCGCGTAAAAATAGCCCGCTCCTGTTTGAAGCTTTGGTGCTGTCGAAGAGAAACGGCGGAATGCCAGCCGATTCAACCATTCCAGCCAGCTCTTGTGATATTTGCCGGGCGAAGATCAGGGTGTTGTGTAGCTTTAGAGCGTGGCTGCGTAGGACCGCCCAAAGGCTAGAACAAACTGCTGCTTTGGTTCGAGCAAGCCAAACAAACAGACAAACAGACAGACAAACAGACAGACAAACAGACAAACAGACAAACAGACAAACAGACAAACTTTAACAAACAAACAAACAAACAAAGAAACAAGCAAACAAGCAGACAAACAAGCAGACAAACAGACAAAAAGGCAACCAAACAAACAAAAACAAACAAACAAACAAACAAACAAACAAACACACAAACAGGCAAGCAAGCAAGCAAGCAAGCAAGCAAGCAAGCAAGCAAGCAAGCAAGCAAGCAAGCAAGCAAGCAAGCAAGCAAACAAAGAAACACAACAAACAAACAAACTAAAACAAACAGACAAACAATCGAACAGACAACCAATCGAACAGACAAATGGACAATCAGACAAACAGACAAACAAACAACAAACAAACACAAACTACAAACGGCTCAATCTCAGTGAAGTATGCCAATCAACTAACCATAAAGAAGAGGCGAGAACGAAAGGACTCATCATCACTGGGCGTCGTACACACCTGGTAGGTCGCCAAAATTCGTCCAGATCCAATGTATACATGGCAAGCTTTGCTTTGAACAAGTGAGACAAGCTTGCCGGTAGCATTTCTACCTCAGTCGCCAACATCCGCTCGCAACAAACGTGGTAAACCCAGAACGTGTCAATGTGTCTTCGCCATCTTCTTCGCGGTATCGTACTTCTTCCATCGGCTTCTTGGTCAGTAAGGGCTCATCACTACAAAAGCACCACAGCTGTTTGCCAAAAGTATGGCATTAAATAGTCCTGCGAACAGATGTTAGGAGGGCTGAAAGCCTTAAAGTGCACATGTGAAGGGGTTCTACAAAATCGCCTTTTGTTTGGGGGGTAGTTGCCCTTCACACCGCCACTTAGATCCATTCAGAGCCGGACATTTGGCTGACGTCCCAGTTAAACAGTTAGTTTCCTTGCCTTGCATCCGAGGCGCACGTCGGTGGGCACTGCTGGATCTCCGTCCTGCGATTGCTGAAAACTTCCGGACGTTGGAGCTCAAACAGTTTTAACCAAGGTTACTATTAACTTTGCTAACTTGTCCGAAAACCCAAGCGGATTTGACACATGGCTTGGGGGTCACATCATCTTGCGGCTTGCGCGCCGGATGCCCGCCTGCAACGTGAAGCCATTGCAAAGCTCCAGCCGCCGGCAAAAATCCTGCCAAGAAAAATCATGAGTCATAGTCAGACCTGGTAAGAGAGTCTAAACAATGGGACCTTCCCCTTTTCTGTGGCTCGCTTAGGCTCATGGAGATTGGGCCCAGTTGATCCCGTTGGGCCCCGGGGAAGGGGGGCATTTGATGACAACTAGATGGCACACGTGTATCCAGTGTTTCACGTTTCATCACATCGTGTGCCATCATATTTTCACGGTTTTCAATTCGTCGGACACATAGTTGAAGAACACCAGTAGGCGGGAAACTGCCTGCCTGGGCGCGATTTTCATGTTTGTGGGACTGCTTTGGTAGGGCTCAAACATTCTGCATTGTGAGGGAACTCTGTTGTAAACAAATGTCACATTAGATGCCACATGACTGGGTTTCGCGTGCCTTGGGCGTCATGGTCCAACTACATGACATGGACCCTCACCTAAGCTGGTTCGCACGGGCATGCTGTTGCTAAAACTTATGAGCCGAACACACAGGGTTCGTTACGTTTCATGTTTTTCAGTTGGTACATTTTGACTGGACAAAATATGCGGGAAATCCCTTGTTTGCCGTCTATGGTTTTTTGTTGCCCTTCTTTTTGCGGGGCCGATGATTTGGTTTATACCTCCTTCGACACACGGTTTCATGTGTCATTGCTTGGCCCATGAGGGGAGGCTCCTTTTTGTGCTTGCCTGGGGGTTCCCCATCCGGAAAAGGACAATGAACAACCGACCAACCAAGAAACAAACAACTACCAACAAATATCACACACATAAACGACCCGTTTGCCGACTGCACGCGGGCACGGTCTTTCAAATGACGAGTTCTACAAAGGACAAGTGGCTTCCCACTCGCTCATTTCCACCCTGCAACAGGCCAAGCCGAGTGGGTGTGTCCAAGAGACAGCTAGAGGGGATTTGTTTGTGTGTGCGCGTGTCTGTGTGCGTGTGTTTTTCCAGGTGCTGTTGCCGAATGCTGCGCGAACACGCGAAAACGAACAAAAGAAAACGACACGAAAACGACACGAAAACATGAAACGCGAAAGCTCTGAAAATCGAAAACAACAGCCATTAAACTATACAGGGTTTATCGGGACCAAGATCAGGCGATCTGGGTTTACCAGTCCACGCAGAGGATTGGTTGCAATGTCACACACACACACACCCTGCCAAACAGTTACCCACAATGTGACAGCTGTCTCGAAACCCGTGTTCACGGAAACTCCATCTTGGTTGACCAAATTGCCTTTGAGCGTGCGGAGGCGGGGCGGCGCCTGGGATACCGAAGGTTCCATTCGCTGGCTTTGGCCCAGCAAAGTCACGAGCCTAGCAGCTTGCTTCACCTTGTCCATCATCATGTGGCAGGAGTCGCCGACCAATTGTCTCAGCTTGCCAGAGACGGCTCTGAGAGTTCTCCGGGCCCGCCACGCTGTGAATGCCACCACGCTAAGCGCCCAAGCCGCACTGAACGCCGCAAGAACTACCATCGATCCACGCACGAACCGATTCCAGACTCTTGAAGCCCTGGATAGCTTCGCAACACGAAATGCCGACGGTGTCATGGTCTAGCCCGGCAAACAACGCCACCTTTGGCCAGGGCTCCACCTCTTCGAGGCGCCGGCACGCCGCACGCGTCACCTCCTCCGGGCTCAGCGTCACCATGCCTTGAAACCCCTTTTGCGCCCACTCGCTAGGAAGCGCTTGGGCGGCCCAGTGCGTAAAAACCCCAAAGTAAGACCAATTAATTGGTTGAATTGACCCATACTTGAACCAATTTCACCTGCTCGGCCAAAGACTCTCAAAAACAAGAAGACAAATCGCAGTTCGTTGGTTGCAATAACCTTGCTCGCGCCTTGAAAGACTAAGGTCCCTGATGTGTGACACGTGGCACGGTGTTCCCAACTGGCCGCCCTCACACTGGCGACACACGTGGCCATGCTGTCGAGCTCTCTCAGGGGCACCACTGGCCGCCGGACAGCGGCCAAGCTTGCGCCGACGCCAGACGAAACTTTCAGCGTCACACGAAAGGATGGCATGACGCAAGGCCTTCGCCCGGCGTAGCCCATTCTGTTAATTTTCGCAACATCACGGAGCTTTTGAGGGGTTGCAACATTCATCACAAATGTAACACAAGAAGTAGAGTAAACTTCCGCAGCCTCGGATTGCATGTCGCCACTTTGCAGTTCCAAAGTAGTACACGGAGTTCGTCTCCGCAACTCCAGCTCACAAGCCGCGCAGCAGCACAGGAGGGGACCCGTTGGCCACCCATGTCTGGAAACTGGCGGGGAGGTGCACCAACTTTCGTGAAACTTTGGCGGATCTTACGCCAAGCTTTAGCGAAGATATGGTTGGAAAGTTTCGCTCAACTGGGCGCGAGAGCTTCAACAAGCTTACAAGCTGCTTTCTGCTGGGGTTGCTTTTGCAGCGGCGTATTCCTGCGGTAAACCTCAGGCCACACTTTCCTCCGACCAGCTTTTGCGCTTTTGTTCTGTTCTCGTGAAGTTTTTGGGGAAGAGCACCAGGACAAGAAGGTCTTTGTACTTGAATACGAAGACCTTTCGGATGACTCGGATTCGATGTACAGTTCATAGGGCTTACAAAACCAGAGACAGTGACAAATTAGCAATAAATATTCCAGAAATATCAAATTATTGTGCAAAGCGATGCACACCTAGGAGGCGTTTCGTTCTACACTTATTAGTTTTTTCTGATAATGTTTACGGACACGTCCATGATCTTCCCAAATGTCCACTGGTGCAGTTCCCACCGAATGGCCGGAGCATGTGTGGATCCACTTGACTCTCATAAGCCCCAGCAGGTGGGCGGCGAAACGCGAAAACGGCGCGAAACACGTGAAAACACCAAAACTAAAAAAGACGAAAACTGCAAAGAAAACAGGAAACAAGCAAACACCGAAAACGCAAGAACGTGCAAGCACAAAAGCGCGGAAAGGGCCTGCAAAACAGGAACTCGAGAAAACGTTGAGATAAAAAAGGGCCTAAAAAGGGCCTTTGTGTTGCTCCCTCCAAAAGAAGGAAAAGGGTGTCCCGTGTGATACCAAAGTGGTTGAAGGCCATCATTATTTATAGGAGATTCCCGTATCTCAGAAAGTGGCAACCTCAATCATCCTCAAACCACATGTGGGGACCCAAAAAATGATGGCTTTCCCTTTGGTGTCCATTTCAATCCATCCCAAAAAGGGTACCCTCAACGAGAAGTAGCTTGCGGAGGCATGGTGGCTCTGATATGACATGCCATTTTCCTGAAGAGGCTTGATGCAGATGCTAAGTCACATCCGCCGAGCCATGTGCTCAGCCACGTCCTTCGATCTCAGGATCCTTTTTTGGCAGGTTCCAAATCAATCCGATCGCTCCCTGTACCAGATAGTCGTAGTTTCCCAATTGTGTCACACTACATTACAAATGAGGGATGCCCCGTTTTGATCAACCCAATCATTGGCACCGGCCCAAAGTTACGCCCGCCTTGGCCTGATCTAAAGTCATCTCCGCGATGTGCAAATCTTCGCCCGCGGGGATGTAGCCAGCATGCCTCGGAAAAGAATCGGGGTCGCACTTGCTGGACTGCGCCTACTAAGCTTCACTTCTGGCTTGAATGGTGGCTCGCAATGAGGTACCCTTACTAGTGGTTATAAAGCAAACCAAACAACACGTTTTGAAGGTCTGTCCACCAAAGGGTTCCTAATCAAAGTCAATATGCATTTGTGTATGAATGCATATATCACATGTACATATTGTACATGCATAATAGTATATAGGCACCCAGACCTCCAAAAAACCATACCTGCACATGCCCCTGACTAGACTTGGTCTTTTTGACCAAATTTCATATTGTGAATTCGCCGCAAGTTGGACTGAAAACCTCCAAGAGAGCGCGCCAAGCCGCTCGGAGAAGTCATCAGAGTCCTCGGACAGGGGGTGGGCCCCCGAGCCTTAAGTCGCTTTTAGTGTCCCCTTAAACACGACCTCAAAAAGGGTACCCTCAACAATACAGCCAACTTTAAATCATGCTTTCCCAAAAGCATGTTTGCAAGCTTTCATTCCAAAGCTTGAAGTAACAGATCGACCTTCATCATGTTGAGCTTGTTTTGCATCCAGGTGAGCGCAGCACCCCAAAACAGGCAAATGTCACGAGCTTCCGAAATAGCCTAAGCTTGCGGAACATCCCCGTCGAACATCCTTTCAACCACCCATGCAACTAATCTAAACAGAAGCAACAAAGAAGGGCTCAACCCATTAGCAAACAAAACAAACGGGTTGAACTCGCTCCCCTCATCCGCGAGCTGGATGTAAGACAAGCTCACCACGGGCCTGGGGCCCTGGCAGCGCTTCTGCAGATCGCTTCAGCGCCATCCAAGTGAAGGCCTGGACCGGGGGTTGCATTGCTTGGATCTTGGGCCCGGGTTATGACCCACATATAAGCTATCCAAGCAGAGTTAACTATGCAGACGGTCTAAGCTTTTGTATGCCGGGGTTTACTGGAAATGACGTTTGCTTCCAAAAGGTCTAAGGGGCTATGGTCACAGCAAAGACAGCCAGCGCAAGCGAGTGTCATCTAGGTGAGCTCGTGCTATAGGTGGGCTCCTGACTTTGTGCAAATCATGGATCTCGCAGGCCAAACACGAAGCTCAACTGAAAGGCTCATTGAAGACATTTGGCCATGGATCAAAACCCCGTACTCCCAGTGAACATCTCAATCCCCACTAAAATAGACTAAAATGGGTGGTGCACCTAACCCCAAATGGTACCATTGGTTTTGACCCACAGCCATTTACTCACTTCCCAAGTTGACTGGCCAAAAAACGTCTGAACTGTTTATTTACCGCTAAAATGGTCTGTCCAAAAAGTTTAAAGTCCACCAACTCGGGAAGTGAGTTTAGCCAATCTTCAACGATTTAATTGTTATCGTGTTATCGTCATCTATCCATTTCGTGGAGTGCGAAGATGTAAACAGTTATCAAAAGGTGACCCAGCCAAGGCCTGGGAGTCTGCAGGGCTTCAGCAGGTGCCAAGTTGAATGCCTGTCACTCACATATCTACGCTGACAGAGGGCTGGTCCACTCGTGTTCTGCCCGGCAAAAGCTGCTCAAGGCTTTTTCCACAGAGCGTTGGACCAGCCACGCAGCTTCACCCCCAGTCATTTAGACCCCCAAGCTTCCCGGATTGAGCATAGAGCCCCCAAGCCCCTCCAAAGGGTCCACCATTTTGAGAAACACTCATCCCCCGTCTTCCCTCTGCCTTCCTGTGACGACTTCACCAAGGGCCGACTGAAGTTCGCAGCGACCTGCAGGACACGCACCAACGACGCTGAGGGCCTACTTGGATGTTCGGCCAAGTTTGCTGGTTTGCCACCCAAGTCAGAGCAAAGTCACAACCCTAACTTGAGCAAAAGGGGGTGGACGAAAGCCGGGGGCTGTTTGGGGCCGAAGCGAGCGGTCTGCGGCAGGGACTGCGTTATGGACCTACAAATTAGTGCCATGTACTCGCTGCTGGGTGACCATGGTGATCCAAAAGAAGGCTGCCACCTGCATAGAAGCCTCAGCCCCGTATTGGGGGGAAGGGGTCTGTCCAGTGGAGTATTGAACCTGGTGGGGGGGGGGAGGGGGTTCTCAGTGCTGCGGCCGAGATTGTTGATAGAATCAAGACTGTGTGGGGATTGAGCCCATGCACTTGCTTGTGCTAGTAGAAACTACAGCTATCTAAAGCTAGCCTTCGTGAAGAACAAGCTTACTCCCTAGCTTGCTATCGACTTACTAACTTGTCCGAACAGCACAGTAGGCAGGCGCCTGCCGAACAAATTCGTTGACCCCGAGAGTAACCTGGGGTTTGACCTTACATGGGTTCCAGGACTTGCCTTTTGACCCTCTGGGGGGGGGGGGGAAACAAAGAAATTCTCAATTACAAGGTTCAACACTCAGAGAGTGGGCACGTGGTTTGTTCAAGTTCAATGAACTACTAGGAATGTGGTTTCCCCTAAAGCCAATCACCAAAACTATCTGCCAGAATAAATTCCCGCAGAACCTCACGGAACTTGCCCGTACCACGCGCTAGCGTACCTGATATAGGTATAGGGATGTCAAATGCATCTCCCTTACCAAATGCACCATACCAATATATCATTGTTCCGCCCCCGCAACCGTATCTTCTTCAGGGACGGGCTGTATCTAGCATCAGGGAGAAGTGAGTATATCTGGCTTTTCTTCTCTCATGAGCAGTTGCTTCGAAAAGGTCCTTTGGGGCCATGCAACAAAGCCAGTCATGACTAAAACAAAACCAAGTGCAGAAAAAACCCGCCTGCCGAGCAAAGCTTTCCACGATGGACAGTTCTTCCTCGGGCGCCAGGAAGGCAGTCCTACCCTTTGGTCCGTATCGCCGACGCCGAAGAAAACATGAGGCGGCTGAGTGTTGAGTTTCTTCTAACCCCCGTCTGAATTCTAAACCTTCCCAAAGGCGGGCAGACCGTCGGAATTGGCGACATCCCCCTTGGGGTTTCTACATGGAGCGGCCCAGCTGGACATCCCTGCATCTGTGTCCAGCCGCCAGGTGCAGAAATTTGTCCATCCACAGCAATGAGAATTCGGAATGAAAACAATGCGAACTATACTTTCAGCGACCAGCTCACCAATAACGTGCTCAAGCATGCTGCTTTTTTGAGAGCGAACTATGCTTCACATTGCGGATTCGCTTGGACACAATAGTTTGGATGGGGTCGCCGCATTTTTCTTCAGGCCGCCTGCTTTCTCTACCCTCCAGTCCCCTGAACTGCCCAACTGCCCAAGCCAAGTTGCGTCCAAGCCAGGCCGAACCTCAGCAAAGACTGCATACAGTGCTTTGCTTTCGTGGGGGACCAAGTAAGCCAAATTACCTCATGAACATGGGAAGCCAATGGTTGTAGTTATATATATATATGTATATTATATTTCCCTCCAAGCATCAACCCACTTTGAATTGGCCCAAGAAATGTTCAAACTACCCAAAGAGAGCGCTACAACTAGGGACCTGCAAAACAAAGCCATCTAACACCAAACCTCAAACTGGGAACAAAGCTCATCCAAGTAGAATTGAGGCAAGGTAAAGACTCCTACGGCCAAGCTCTTGCGCTGCCATTCAAAAGATCTTCGCCAATACGTACCAAAGCTAGTTCAAACGGTCGTCAGTGGGACTCGCTCATGATTTGAGCCTCTTGCTTATTTGCTTGCTCGCTCGCTTGCTTTACGTGTTGGCAAGTTTTGATTGCTTGCCTGCCTGCCTGCCTGCCTGCTTGCTTGCTGGTTTGCTCTGTGTGTGTGCTTTGCTTTGCCCGCTGTTGTGCTCGAGTTTGTGAGGTGTGTATGAAGGTGTGTAGGTGTGTGTGTGTGTGCGTGTGTGTGCGCGCGACGGTGTGTTTGTGTGTGGCAGCGCTGACATGATCTCCTGGGCGCCGCGCAATGCGCATAATCTGCATTGGGTGCGCTGGGTAGCTTTCTATTAACCATCCAAAGCCTGACCCGATGCTCGATCATGACAAGTCACATGGTTATCCAAGTGTGTGGATCATATTTCATGACAACTCATGCGGTTCCTGGAATGCTGGCACGTGGTCAACACGGCAGGCACCTTCTACCGGCTTGCATGTGAGATTGAGCTACACGCCTAGCTAACAAACAACAATTGCCGGGTAGTTCAAGGCAAATAGAGATCAACATTTAAGCCACATCGCAACGTTTCAAACAGAAAGCTGAACATGCTCTGCACTCTTGACATGAATTCCCAAGTGGGATCCCTTTTACCGTCACGCAAAAGGAATTCACCTTTATAGTATTTGACGTACAGGGTTGTCAAAAGAGTCAGCATTCGGTGCGCTGTTTGAACACCTCGAAAAGGCGAGATAAATTGAACAACCAGGGTCAATAAGAAGGGTCCATCGCGCAGTCCCAAGAACGTCTCCAGTCAAACCTCTCCAAGGAGCAAATTCCCACAGGGACACAGGTGAAGAAGCAGCAAGGGCATGTAGCCTCCTTGAGAGGGACTGTTCTCAAGTTCCGCCAAATAGGCGCAAGTAATTACCCCCGAACCCCTGAACCCTTCAGAAACCCTTCGGAGTTGCTCCATAGCCTGAGCAAAGTTGACTGAAATCTGCGAACCCCAAAATGGTCGCTTTCTGTTTGGCTTCCCTTTAAACCAACACACCTCTTTGGTGCAAGCCACGGTGTGGCCACTCCAACAATGCTTGGGTTTTCCTTCAGTGGTGGCCCTTTTAATCCACTTTGAAAAGGGTATCTGCAAAGCAATATATTATTTCTTCCGCGTGGAATGGAAAGGGGAGCAAAGGCGGGTGGAACGCCCTGGACGGCTTTTGGCTTCGAAACGCGCAGCCTCACTGAGCTACTAGCATAAGTTCAGGTCTACCCTCCCAGCTAACCTAGAACCTGAGGGAACCCCTAGGAAAGATCATCTTTGTTTCAGGCTCCGTGGGTGAGGTTCCATGTTTAGCAGGCGGCTGGAATGGTATTAGCCTAGCATGACCCTTCTAATTGACTTTATCTGGACGAGCAACGTCGAAAACACCCTCTGCTGCCCGAACTGTCTCTGCACGGCGCGCTTTGCAAAAATCCGCGCTTGCGGGATGATTGCCGGGATTAGCAATTAGATTCTTGCCAACTTCATGCTCTTGCGGGGAAAAACTTGTCAGTGTCGCTTTAGTCGTGCTGCCTCCTGCACTACACACCTGATACCGCATAACGGGAGGTGTCCCTTGCGCTCGCTGACGCTCAGTAACTGTGCTTTTTCTCCCAAAATAATTACACAGCATGGATAGACTCCTGATGCTGTCCCTTGAAACGTAAGACCAAGGGCGTGAATTCAGACGGAGAATGCCGAGCCACAGCTGCAGAAAGACCCCGTGCCGCCCTGAGGTCTCCGCTCGCATCGGAGCCAATCACATGCTTGTCTGCGGACGCCAAGCCTTCGAGTCTGCCGCACTCCTCTTTGCTTTCCGGGGGGCCTGGAGCACCGCTCTTTGTTACCTTCTCCGGCAAGGGGCCAAGCCCAGCCTCGCCCGTCTGTGCGCCACACAAATTCTGCCCGCATACACAGCCTAGGTCGGAGGCTTGCCTGCTGGTCTTTTCATTTGCCAAAGCTTTAGCCTTCTCTTTGGCTCTTTGATCCATGCGCCTTCTGTCTACCAGCACACCCCCCCCAAATAGAAGCCAATAGAGCCCTTGCGCTGGAGAAAGGATACTTGAACATTGCACAGCTTGATCAGAAACTGGGTCGAGATAAAATAGCAAGAGGTTTCATCGCGTTTCTGCGCCAAGCTGTGCAACCAGGACATGTGCACCGTACATTAAGTACAAAATCACATTCAGGTCTGCAAACACTGGCATTGGACCCCTCTGTTGAATTGCCTTAAGATCACCTGGCAATCTTAATAGCATCGAACGCAGCTGATGTTCTTCTTCATTTTCTTTAAACCGGTATACGGTATGGGTATGCGTCAGAATAGGCGGACGGTCAAATGGTGGTATGAAAGCACGGTAAAAGGGTGCCCTCAAAACACACACCCCAAGCACAAACACAAAACACAAACACCAAACACAAACACAAACACAAAACACTAAGCCTCAAACACAACCCAAACAAATTACGGACCCTTGGCTGATCTCATGGGGATCTTCTGTCCACCAGCTATTTGCCAAGATGGCCAAGAGTGGTGCATCCTCAGAAAATACCATAGAAACACATTTTGGAGTCCCTGAACATGGCAACCGCTTTACAGGGCCCAGTCCAACCAGCAATTTACCGGCTGGACGCTAGCGCACCTTCGGCCGGCTCCTGACGGCTGCGAAGGGCATGACATCTTCGAGGACCTGCCAGGAGATTCCCACCGAACGATGAGCCAAAGGTCGTGATCGGCATTGTCTCGGTTTCATGAAGGCAGTTTCCAAAAGATCCGTTGGGGGCGATTCGGCACCAAAGAACATGGCTAGGACAAAAGCTGGGTCTGTCTCAACCGAACCCCTGCTCCCCCCACAACGATCTGCTTTTTGGACGACAACATTTGGGCTTTGGACATGGGAAACAACAGTGGTTGGCAAGTGGGAGGGCTATACTCACATTCCTTTAGGCTAATTATCATTTGAATGGACCTCATTGGGCGCACTCACCAACTCTTTCAATGAAATGAAATCCCATGTCGCTTGAGCACAGAATGAGAATGTGGGCAAAATACAAGTTCAACGATGGGAAACAAGCCCAAGTCAAGCACCTTCATCATGGATAAGCTGGCTCCTAACAAGCCAAGAATCAATCCTGAAAATCGGGGACCCTGCATTGTTGCTGGGGGTTCGGACGGCTAGTTAGTTCAAGTCATGGGAAACGTCCTCTATCTTGTTCGTTTACACGTGGTGAAAAAAGGGGCAGTGCATAGAGTTCTACGCATTATGTGGCTTCTGACATGCTTGGCTTTTCCTGTGAATTCTATTGATGCTTTGGTCACTCGTCGCCGGTGAAGCGGTGCACCTTTTCCGCCGTTTTGGCAGGCCGCTGGAAGCTCAACCCACAGCGTAACACAAACAAATGGCTTGCTGCAAGCTAATTAGGTCAAACATACTTCCCTATTATACAATCAGGAGGTTATCAGCACACTATGCCCCAATTGCGACCCAAACACCGCTGAGTTCTTTCTTTTCATACTTCTTCGGATTGGGGAAACCTCCAAACAAAGGGCTGGTCTTTGGTGTAACCAAATCCTAAATCGCCCCTTAGACCTTCTGGACACAAATAGTTTGTTCATTAACCTTCCAAAAGGCCAGACCTTTTGCTCTGGAAGGAAGAGCAACCCAGCAAAATCAACTTCCACGTACGGAGTCGGCGGACCGGATGCTAACCACGGCGCACTACCCATCGGAAGCGGAGCGCTCCGAGCTTTTGGGCCGTGAGTTTGCGGAAAGAAGAACTAGTCGGCACATATCCAGTTGGGATTTGTTCCGTTCAAATTTCATGAGACTCAGGGTTTGTTCCAATCGAAATTCCTGGGAGATTAAGCGCTGGGGCCCGCACGGCTCTGCCCCGCAGAACTGAAGCGACTGCATCCTCCTCCTGCGAAAAACTTCAAAGTTCACCCAGGATTCATCTTGGTTGAATAACAGGTTGCCGTGCCATTTTAGAGGAAAACCTTCACTTTGAGAGGACACACCCTTCAATTCATTCACCAGGTTGATGTATCCCTGGTCGACATTTGCTGTCTGGAACCAAGAGCACCGTGTTCACATCTTGCTTTCCACGTGTGCAGTAGAGGTTGCGTTTGAGAGAGGTAACTTTTCAACAGGAAACTCTGCGCGGTTCCTCCACGATGATCTAGGGCCCACCAAAGAGGGACCTGTATCGTTCGTGAAATCACAAACCCTTTTCTGAGGCTACTACAAGTGGCTTAGATTACATACATTTTTTGCGGATTCAAGGAAAGGGTAGAGAGATCTTCTAACATGCGATCTCCAACCAGCCCACTCCTTGAAACGGGCAGCCCCCCATGTTTACTAGTGATGATATGTTTCCTTCAAACACAACACAGAATAAGAGCTCCTTTGTGGTTCTTTCTTCCGTGTTGCCACAGTGGTTCATTCCAAACCCACTACTTCATCACTTTACAGAAAAGCCGCGGCATCGCCGGTAGAACATGGCCATCCAAACTGCCTCAGCCTGCCCCCAAACCCACTAATCATGATTCTGGCTCGTCTGTGAACCTCACAGTGGATTCTAAGATAGGATCATAAAGAAATCTTCGGAGTGATCTCCACAAGTTTATTCTGCGAACCTTAATTTCCCAAAAGGCAGTTTGCGACACAAAAAAGCCCGCTCGCCCTCCAATGGCCATCTGTCGGTTCGAAACAACACCCTAAAATGAGTAACAATCCAATCAGTTAGCACCTGGATTCCCAATTGTGGCCCCGTTTCCAAGGACATCTCCACATGTGTGGTAATGGTACCTATTGGTTGGGTCTGCTGACTGATTGTTACTTTGTATCAGTTCAACACGGAAGATGCCAACAAACAAATACAAGGGATACACATATTATATGTATGGTGCCCAAGTGGTACTTGCCTTTGCTAACTTCCCGCCCAAAACGGCAAGGATCCCTCTCCGGGCCACCCAACGCAGCTGCCAGGACAGCTTCGCGCCATCTGCAGCGGCCGCGAAAAGCAGAACTGCGGAAGGCAAAGCTTCGACCTGGGCGTGGCTCAAACGAACGTCTCACGGCAGTGGAGACCCGCCCAAAAAACAAACATGGATCCTGCAAGAGGGTGGCACGAGGAAAATTATCTTCCGGGGATTTCAGGGTCCGTAATTGGTGTGAGGGTATCCAATGACACCCAAACACATGTCCCGCCGCAGCAGGGACACGTAGCTCACATGGACAATCTTAGTAAGTAAGTTCTATCTCAACCCACATAGTAAGAGTGTTGTAAGCTCTTTGATTTGTGAGTGTATCACCAGAATGTTTGTCTTGCCGTAATCGGAGCTACCCTCCCACGTTGCTATCGAACCTGACTGGAGGCCCCTGAAAGACCATGCTCCTCTTACAGGGGCCCTCGTTCATGCTACGTGATTGTTTTTAGGAGGGTAGTGAATGCGGAACAGTAAGCAGGTCACAACCGCGGCTATAAATCTAACTACCACTTCTTGTCCCATTCATCACCATGATTGAAACCTACCTACCAAGCGGATTGAACGTTCCACAAGCTTCACGGTTTGCTGGGGCGCAACCCAGTCAAGAGGGGATCCTTCATTGAGGACAAGCACCAAAGCAATCTGACAAGATGTACTTGTGCGGGGTCGACAATACACCATCGCTTCCTTGCTCGGTCCGCCAATCGGCATTGGTAGTTTGTGCGGGAACAGTGAATAACGACCGCACATTGGAGAGGTTGACAGTCAAACCCAAAGAGTAAAGTCAACAGGTAAATCCTCGCTGAATTTTTGTTTGGTGGCCGTACCCTGTTTCGCTTTCACTTATATTGCTTGCATTTTCAACACCCCAGAGCACAGTACAGTTTCTCTTTGGACCAAGCATCATGTGGGTTTCTCTTAAAGGGTACCCATTTGGTGTTGCTTCAAGGGATTTCCAACCACTCATTCTGGGCCCCGGAATGTAATGAAGACAAATCCAAGTCTGCTTTCGGCACCTAAACATGGAGTAACTCGTCCGAGGTCCCTACATAATGGTAATCAGTACCAAGCGGATTAGGCCAGACTCTGTTTGCTCAATGAACCTGAGCCCTTTTTGACGGTTCACCTGATCTTGGTGGGGCCCCAAGCCGGTGAGGCGGTGACTACAGGTCTTTTCTCAGCACGTCACAAGTACACTGATGCGACGCCGTACCACATCCAAGTTGCCTCCAGGCCAATACAATGTCGAGATTGTTGCACATTGGCATGCAACTGGAGCAAGTGCAAGTCATCGGAGATCATCCTGCAATCTCAGGCTTTGACACAAAAGCCGTGCAATAAATAAAGGCGAAGTCAGGCCCCTCATGCGCGGGCAACAGCAATTGTTGCTGCTACCCATCTACCGCGTCAGCCTTCGGCCCGGCATCCAAGAGCCTAATTCTCGGGCTGCCTGAGTGCCGAGGCCCGCCCAATGGAATTCGTAGGAAATAGAGTCGCAGCGTAAGCCAGGGTTCAATGATGTCTCTTGTTTGCGAAACAATTCCAATAGCAGCTTCAAATTGTGAATGCAAAACGCAGCGTGTTTCATCTCGAGCCTCTCCAGTCTTTCATGCTGAAAGGCGCCCTATGTCCTTCCCAAAACAATTGACCATGAAGTACGGAAAAGCTTCACCGAGCCTCATGTGTGCGCGCTTGTGTTGCGTATGTTTTTGTGCCGCCGCGGCTTGGCGCCAATGCAGCTGTGCATTGATGATAGTGATCAATCTCTGCTGGGGTGGCTCGTTCTCGGTGCAGGTAAAGCTACGTTTGTTTGGCTTTGCCCTAAAGCCGGACCTGACCATCTTGGCGGCACAGATTGAGATTCCTATGGACAGGGTGCTGTCTTTGAATCATTGGCACGATTTTTCTCATGGCACCCCACTCAGCGAGTGAGGGCTTCGTGAGTCTGGATTAACAAACCTCTTTCCTCGTGCAAAAGGTTGTCTAACCTTGTGTAGGTATTCAATGACAAGCAACCATGTGTTTCAAAAGGTCTAAGAGGCTAAGGTCACACCAAGTACCAGTCAAGAGAGATTGGTCGCCATTAGCAAAAGCATTCCCCAACTGGACAAAAACAAACCCTCAGAGACTTCGACATCGCTGGTACCTCCAAGTGTGCGCCAAGGAATCGAACAGCCCTGGGCATCCTGCTTCCTGCACAATGTCAGGTGGCTCTATCCGGGTTGATCCCGGATTAACTCAAATTCGTCTTGATCCTAACTTTGCCGTTGAACCTCATCCTTGGCTGTTGACTCTATTCCCAACCCGGCGTCCCTGTCTTGGAAACCAGGTTGAAATATTGGCCAGTCAAAAGCCAACGTCCGAGATGGAGATAGGCAGGCCATTCGAAGCGAACTTGGGATCACCAAGGCAGGTGATCCAAGGTCATCTATTGTGGACTCCGTGGAGAGTTTCCTTGGCAAGCCATGTGGGGAACTTGAAATTGATGGGTTTCTGGCTTCCCCCTTTTTAAAAACTGAAGGCAGCAAGAAGTGCCGTTTGGTTTTGAAGCAGGTGCATCCTAGTTGTAATTTATCCTACGTTCAACTCTGCATAACTTAGTCAGGTGCATAACCTGCTTAGCTATCGTTTTTGAGCACCTCCCACGGCTCACCTAGCAAAAGACATGGAGCCCCCTCTGTACAGCAATGCAGTCTGAACAACATGGAATATTGCATCCTCTTAGAAGTTGCCCGCTGTAGTGCAGAATACCTTTTCGAGTGGGTCCCTTCAACCAATGACTGGGAAGATCAGCTTCTTGTTGCAAAGGACGCTGCTGTCAGCTTCCGTGCAAGTGGGAGGCACCAGGGTTCGCAAAAGGCCACTCTTTTTAGGAAACAAAATCCAGTCAAAGAACATACGCATTGGCAACCTCCCCACAATAATCCCCAAGCTGCCAGGCAATTTGCTTTAACTTAATTACACTACGCTCTCCACATCAGCCTTTAGGTCCTTTCCATGCCACAAACTGGAGTCAATGCTATGCGATGACTTGGGAACAATCTCCTATGCGTGCTCCAGGCTCGCGCGGCTTCTGCCACCCGCACTACGTGCTTTGCGCGGATGGTTGCTTGCAACTTTGCAGTCAGCCTGGGTGTGCGCTTGACTGTAAACCGGCATGTCTTCATGTGTGTATATCTGCTTGTGCGCTGCTCCTCTGTCTGTGTGTGGTGTGTGCATCTGCGGCTATCCATTTGTTGACCTGCATGCACATGTCAGATTGCAATCTGTTGTTGGTTGCGTTTCAAGCAAGTCCCTCCGAGAACAAAAGTGAAAAGGGGGGGCCGGCTGCAGCCGTGATTCTGGCGTGTGCGTGCGAGGGCATGTGCATGAGCGTCTCGCGTATCACTGGCTATGCATCTGGGCGCATGACTCATGGAGTATATCCTATATTTCAACCAAGATGGCTGATGGCCAATAGGTAAACAAAGAAGGTATCTGAGAGAAGCTGGTTCCCCCCCCCCCCAAGGAGAGCTCGCTGTAGTTGGTGCAAATGCATGTACACACGATTGCGCGGAGCAGGAGCTACTTCGGAGAAAGTAATAATTGCACCGACGGTGCCTCTGTTTTCAGAGGTTTTCCGCACATCGGGCGAATTTAGGGAGGCAGTCAAATCCCACTACCCACGCCCCAGGAAAGGTTCAGAAGGAATCTTCTTAGAAGAAGTTCTGGTCGAAGGGTTCTGATCGAACCTTTCCTTTGGGGGCACTGTCCCTCCGTAGCATTTGCATAATTCAACCAGCAGGCATCCTTGTGGGGCTGCCTGCAAACAAACGGTCTCTCATTTCTTCTCCATGCTCGGTGCTTTGCTCAGCAGCGTGGGACCTGGCACGCTGACGCGTTGTCAAGTACACACACATGACCCAGGTACGGACAAGTTGGCAGGTTAGTGGCGTAACCTAGACTACAAGCTTCTCAACTTAGAAGTTAAGTCGAGTCAAGCCTGCTGTTAGTTGGTGGCAAACCTCTTACTATCTTGGCCGAACATCCAAGCACCCGGGAAACTTCAGCCAAATGGCACGATACCAGGGTCCTGAAAGGATCTAGGCTTGAATCACCAGGGTCCTACTTCTGACAACCCACTGGGATCACCATCATACCCAACCACGAGCTGGGCATTGCGACTTTCTGAGATCATGCTGTCCTGCATGTTGTCCAGCCCTTTAAGCCTTTGCCACACGTCTCTGCTTCAGGCTCCATCACTTTCTCATGCCCTTGTAGTATGAACTATGAACAAATACCAAGCAGGATTCGGTCTTTGACCTGCCCTTTCTGCGGCAAAAGGGACTGCCTTTACATCTAGAAAGTCTTTTTGGCTACATAGGTTTGGAATTTCCTCCAACGAGAGTCACATTCAAATCAGGCGCATTGGAAGACAAATTGAGTTGGGGACAAAGGGTCACAAACCAATCCTTTCTCACTGTGTGCCCCAAATGTTTCAAACGAAGTTAAAGCGCAAGCCTTCAATTGTTCAAGCGCAAGCCCCAAACTTCTCAAGCGCAAGATTCAACCCAGCACCCCAACCCCCCCCCCCCCGTAAGAGGGAAGAATTGGGCCTATGTGTCGCCCAAGGCCCTGAATAATAGTTTCCCGGGTTCTCCCTGGTCAGTTCCAGGATATTAAAATAGATAAATAAATAAATAAATAAATCAAAAAAAAAACAATGATTTTTATTTTATTTTTTAAATTTCTGGAGGCCTCCAAAAATTTAAAATAAATAAATAAAAATCAATTAATTTAAAGCAAAAATCAAATAATTTAATTTTTTTATATTCTTTATTTTTTATAAAAAATTCTGGAGGCCTGCAAAAATTTCAAAAAAAATAAACATATAAATAGTTTCGTGGGTTCTCCCTGGGCTAGTTGCAGGATATTTTAAAAAAGTTAAAACAAATCAAATAATTTCAAAAATTCAATTAATTTAAATATTTATATATTTTTACTTTTTTTAAATTTCTGGAGGCCTCCAAAAATTTAAGAAATTTAAAAAAAATATAAATAGTTTCCTGGGTTCTCCCTGGGCCAGTTCCAGGATATTTAAAAATTTAAAAAAATCAAATAATTAAAAAAAAAAAAAACAAATAATTTAAATATTTATATTTTTATTTTTTTTAAAAATTTCTGGAGGCCTCCAAAAATTGAAAAACAATTAAAAAATATAAATAGTTTCCTGGGTTCTCCCTGGGCCAGTTCCAGGATATTTAAAAAATTTAAAAAATTCAAATAATTTAAAAAATTCAAATAATTTAAATATTTATATTTTTTAAATTTGTTAAATTTCTGGAGGCCTCCAAAAAATTAGGAAATTTAAAAAAAATATAAATAGTTTCCTGGGTTCTCCCTGGGCCAGTTCCAGGATATTTAAAAAATTAAAAAATTCAATTAGTTTTTTTTTTTTAAAAAAAAAAACAATTAATTTGAATATTTATATTTTTTTGTAAATTTTTTAAATTTCTGGAGGCCTCCAAAAATTTAAAAAAAAATAAAAAAACATCAAATAATTTAAACAATTCAATTAATTTAAATATTTATATTTTTTAATTTTTTTTAAATTTCTGGAGGCCTCCAAAAATTTAAAAAAAATAAAAAAATATAAATGGTTTCCTGGGTTCTCCCTGGGCCAGTTCCAGGATATTTAAAAAATTTAAAAAAAAATCAAATAATTTAAATATTTATATTTTTTATTTTTTTTAAATTTCTGGAGGCCTCCAAAAATTTGAAAAAAATTAAAAAATATAAATAGTTTCCTGGGTTCTCCCTGGGCCAGTTCCAGGATGTTTAAAAATTTAAAAAATTCAAATAATTTAAAAAAATCAAATAATTTAAATATTTATATTTTTTAAATTTTTTTTAAATTTCTGGAGGCCTCCAAAAATTTAAAATACTTAAAAAATATAAATAGTTTCCTGGGTTCTCCCTGGGCCAGTTCCAGGATATTTAAAAATTAAAAAATTCAATTAATTTAAATATGTATATATTTTTATTTTTTTTTAAATTTCTGGAGGCCTCCAAAAATGTAAATAATTCCAAAAAAATCAAGTAATACAAATAATTCAATTATTTATATTTTTTTAATTTTTTTTAGATTTTTGGAGGCCTCCAGAAATTTTAAAAAAATAAACAATATAAATATTTAAATTAATTGGATTTTTTAAATTATTTGATTTTTTGTAAATTTTTAAATATCCTGGAACTGGCCCAGGGAGAACCCAGGAAACTATTTATATTTTTTATTTTTTTTCAAATTTTTGGAGGCCTCCAGAAATTTAAAAAATTTAAAACAATATAAATATTGAAATTAATTGAATTTTTTAAATTATTTGAATTTTTAAATTTTTTAAATATCCTGGAACTGGCCCAGGGAGAACCCAGGAAACCATTTATATTTCTTATTTTTTTTAAATTTTTGGAGGCCTCCAGAAATTTAAAAAATTTAAAAAATATAAATATTTAAATTAATTGAATTGTTTAAACTTTTTGATTTTTTTTTATTTTTTTTAAAAAAATTTTGGAGGCCTCCAGAAATTTAAAAAATTTACAAAAAAATATAAATATTTAAATTATTTGAATTTTTTAAATTATTTGATTTTTTTTAAATTTTTTAAATATCCTGGAACTGGCCCAGGGAGAACCCAGGAAACTATTTATATTTTTTTAAATTTTTGGAGGCCTCCAGAAATTAAAAAAAAATAAAAAAATATAAATATTTAAATTATGTGATTTTTTTTTTTTATGTTAATTGATTTTTTTTATTTTTTTTTAAATATCCTGGAACTGGCCCAGGGAGAACCCAGGAAACTATTTATATGTTTTAATTTTTTTTAATTTTTTGGAGGCCTCCAGAATTTTTTTTAAAAAATATATATAAATATTTAATTTATTTGAATCTTTTAAATTAGTTGAATTTTTTATTTTTTTAAATATCCTGGAACTGGCCCAGGGAGAACCCAGGAAACTATTTATATATTTGTTTATTTTTTTTTAATTTTTTGAGGCCTCCAGAAATTTAAAAAAAAAAAAAGAATTATTGAAAATTATTTGATTTTTTGTTTTTTTTAAATATCCTGGAACTGGCCCAGGGAGAACCCAGGAAACTTTTTTTTTTTTTTAAATTTTTGGAGGCCTCCAGAAATTTAAAGAATTTAAAAAAATATATATATTTAAATTAAGTGAATTGTTTAAACTATTTGAATTTTTTTATTGTTTTTTAGATTTTTGGAGGCCTCCAGAAATTTAAAAAACTTAAAAAATATACATATTTAAATTATTTGATTTTTTTTAAATTATTTGATTTTTTTTTAATTTTTTTAAATATCCTGGAACTGGCCCAGGGAGAACCCAGGAAACTATTTATATTTTTTAATTGTTTTTCAATTTTTGGAGGCCTCCAGAAATTTAAAAAATTTTAAAAATATAAATATTTAAATTATTGATTTTTTTGAATGATTTGATTTTTTAAAATTTTTTAAATATCCTGGAACTGGCCCAGGGAGAACCCAGGAAACTATTTATTTATTTATTTTTTAAAGTTTTTAAATTATTTGATTTTTTTAAACAAAAAATTAAGTATCCTGGAACTGGCCCAGAGAGAACCCGGGAAACTTTTTTTGGAGGCATCCAGATTGTTTTTTTTTTTTTTTTTATTGAATTATTTAAATTATTTGACTTTTTTAATTTTTCAAGTATCCTGGAACTGGCCCAGAGAGAACCCGGGAAACTATTTATATTAAAAATTTGGAGGCCTCCAGATATTTCAATAGAATTAAAAAAAAATAAATATTTAAATTATTTGAATTTCTTTGTTTTTCTAAATATTGACTTTTTTTTACATATCCTGGAACTGGCCCAGAGAGAACCCGGGAAGCTTTTTTTGGAGGCCTCCAGATTGTTTTTTTTTCAAATTATTGAAATTATTTGATTTTTTCAATTTTTTTAAATATCCTGGAACTGGCCCAGAGAGAACCCGGGAAACTATTTATATTTTTTAATTGTTTTTAAATTTTTGGAGGCCTCCATAAATTGTTTAAAAAAAAAAAAAAAAAAATGATTTGAATTATTTATTTGTTTTGATTTTTTGATTTTTTACATATCCCGGAACTGGCCCAGAGAGAACCCGGGAAACTATTTTTTCATTTTTTTTGGAGGCCTCCAGAAATTAAAAGAATATATAATAAATGTAAAGACTTATCTTTTTAATTATTCAAATTATTCATGTGTTTCAACTTTTTCCAATATCCTGGAACTGGCCCAGGGAGAACCCGGGATATTACTCAAAAAAATAAAAAATGGAGGCCTCCAGAAAGTTAAGAAATTTTAATAAATGAATGTTTATTGGTTTGCTTGTTATTTTTTCAAACTTGCTGAATATCCGGGAACTGGCCAGGGAAAACTTTTTTTAGACGCCTCTACAAATTTAAGAACAAATAACTACAAAAACAAACTCTATATTTTTTAAATATCCGGGAACTGGCCAGGGAGAACCCTGGAATTTAATTATTGTTTTTGTACAAAAAATGGAGGCCTCTAGAAATTTAAAAATTAGAAGATACATAATTTTAGATTATTTGACATGTTTAAAACATTTTTTAAATATCCTGGAACTGGCCCAGGGAGAACCCTGGATTCTTTGTTGGTTTTTGGAGGCCTCCAGAAATTAAAAAATAATACTTAAATTATCTGATTTTTATGTTGTTTAAACAGAATGGAACTGGCCCAGGGAGAACCCTAGAAATGATTCAATTTTCATATTTTAAAAAGGATGCCTCCAGAATTTGAACAAAAAACATTTTTATAATGCTTTCTCAGGGGCCGCCAAAAGGATTGAA